ACTCTCACCTTCCGACGGTCATCCACGACTCCTTTGGGCCAGCCTTCTATACAGCCACCTGCCTCAACCGACAATGCAGTCCAGCCTCCAGCTACCGTTGAGTCCTCTATTACACCTGTCCCCGCGACCACGTCGAGCTATGATCTACCTCCTGCACGTTATACAAAGGAGGACCTTCTAGACATGTTCCATGTGCAAAAACCGGGCGAAGACGCATCTCGACTTTTTGCATCCGGCTGGAATCCAGGTCAGGTCAATGGACACGCTGCTAGAGGGTGGGGAAAAAGCAACGACAACCACATCCCACAGGAGCCTGGTGCTTGCTGGGATCAAACTGGAGATACCACTCCAATGGGCTTGCAGGATATGTCTATGGAGGAGAAGGAGGTGCGCTAGTTCTCATGCCGCAGCTTGACGTTGTTTGGTTGCTAACCGCCAACAGGCCTTTACGACAGAAATCAATTCTCCCCTTAAACCACCAACCCAGAACAAAGAGGCTCACCAGGTCAACACGAATGGACGAAAGGCTTCGTTGTCCCAAGGAGCGTCCAACAACTTTGGTGTTAGCTCCCCCTCTTCTGCCACACGGCCGGGGGCTCGCCGGCGAGAAACCCTCGAATCGAATCCGTTTGGAGGAAGCGCCACGGCCTCACCCACGGCCGCGGGGCGCTTCTCTCGCGACGACCCCTCCTTCTGGTTCCCCCGCAAGAACACTGATCTCAAGGAATCCGAGGCAGACGAGTCCGATACTGAACCCACCTCCCGCGAGGCACCTGGAAAGCTGCCGCCCTTTGCATCTCTCATGAGGTCAAACACGGGTGGAATGGGACCTATGGGCTCCATTTGGCCACCATCTAACCAAACCACTCCCGGAGCCGGGGGATTCGGCAACTTTGCTCTCCCCTCCTCATCCGCCGTTGGTGACAAACGCGTGGGTGGAGCGCCTGGTGGTGGTGGAAGCAGGTTGGCCCATCTCATGCCCAAGGATAGCTCGGAAAACGTTGCGGGCAAGGCTGTGGAGAGCCCGAACCCGCTCAACCAGCAATCCTGGCGATCTCGTCCCCGAACCGACACGGATCCATTTGGCGATGATGGTCTTTCAGGCAGCGCTGTTCTTGGGGGAGCGCAGGATACTGACGCCGGTGGGCTACAACAGGGCAACCGAGCAGGCACTCTAGGCACCCCAATCAAGGGATCCACGGGCGATTTTGGCATGGCGGGCTTGAACCTTGGTGGCCACGGAGATGACAATGGCCCTGTGAGCCCTTCCGAGACTAACCCCTACCGCAGCCCCCCCGCCGAACGCCACGGTCATGACGACGAGACCGATGAGAAGTCTCATGGTGCCAGCCTTCAAGATGCTCCCTCCAACTTTGGCTCCATTGGACGCGGCTTTGGTGGTTATGACGGAGGCGATCGTAGCCAAACTTCTAGTGTTGGTGCCAAAGGCTATCCCTCTCTGAGCACTCTCTCTGGCTGGCCCGCTCCTGGTGGCCCTACTATTGGTACCCCGGACCGCGAGCGACCTAACCTAGGTAGTGCTTTTGGCAGCTCTCTGTTCAGCCCTATTGGTGATCTTCAGTCACCCGGATTGTCCAACCTCAACAACGTCTTTGGTCCTGGCAGCGCTGGTGGTCTCGGGTCTGGAAGCATCAGCCGCGGGAGCAAGATGGGCTCTCTTTTCCCCGCCGCGATGCAGGCACAGATGCAGGCTCATGAGCACGAAAATAACCTGTCTGATTCCATGCCCGACCTTAGGCAGACCAACCCTCTCGGAGCCATTGGCCGCGGCAACTTTGGTATTCCTTCCCGTGACACGGAGAGCCCGATGCGAGCTAGCCGCGGTGTGTTTGAGGACCTCTTTCCTTCGGGCGACGCTGCTCGATCTCAGGGTGTCTTCAGCACTGGTGAGGCTGGTCATTCCGGTATCACTGCGACTGCACCTCAGTCATTCACCCCCGTTGGCGGCGGCCTGCCTTTCGGAGGCAGCCAAGGTGGTGCTGAAACACCCGCTGCTCAAGTTCGCCAGATGGTCATGCCTGACAGGATGAGGTGGGTGTACCTTGATCCCCAGGGACAGGTCCAAGGTCCTTTCACTGGTCTTGAGATGAACGATTGGTACAAGGCCAACTTCTTTACTCCCGACCTCCGTGTCAAAAAGGTCGAAGATCCTGAATTTGAGCCCCTGGGACAGCTTATCCGACGAATTGGGAACTCTCGTGAACCATTCTTGGTTCCTCAGATTGGCATCCCTCATGGACCTCCCACCCAAGCCGGGCCTTTCTCCCCTACAGGGACCACTGGTGTTGTGCCTCCCCTCAGCGGTGTATTCCCCAGCTTCGGACGTACCCTCACGGCCGAAGAGCAGAACAACCTTGAGAGACGCAAGCAGGAAGAGCAGTATCTCATGGTTCAGCAACGGGAGTACGTCATGCGCCAGCAAGCCATGTCCAAGTTCCAGATGCCAGGACCTATGCTCCAGCATCACTCGAGTGCCCACAGCCTTCAGAGCCAGCCCAGCTTTGGTAGCATCACTTCCCCAAACCCCATTGGAATGCCTCCTCACCAACAACCCATCGGCGCCGTGCCGCCTTCGGGGGGGTTCTTTGATGGGCCTGGACCCGTTGGCCCTCAAACCTCTGCACCTTCGGGTTCGGGAAACGGGGATCCTTTCAGAGACGATGATCTAGCCAACCTCACCAACGCTGAGCGCCAGGTTCTCGCCTCTCTTCAATCTTCTGGTGCTGGTGCCCCTCAGCCAATTGGCGCGCCCGCCCCTGACGCCAACCTCCGTACTGGCCTCCCCGAGACCGAGACGCTAGAGCAAGACCCTGAGGGATTTAAGGAGCGCCTGCAGGAATTCGAGGATCTTCGAGCTCAGCATGAAGCCGAGCAGGCGGCCAGAGCCGCCGAGGAGACCCCTGAAGATGACAATGCCGAGGAGAGCTCACCTGCGTCCGAGATTACCCCTGAACCCGAGCGGCCTGCTGAGGTTCCAGTTCTGACCGGCAAGGCTGCCCGCGCGGCCAAGAAGAAGGCAGCTGAGGACGCCTTGTCTCTCACTCAGCAAGTTCAGAAGACCCAGGCTGCCGCTGCTGCCGCCGCCGCCGCCGCCGCTCTGCCGGTTGAGCCCGACATGCCGATGCCTTTCCCTCCTCCCGCTTCCACAGGCACCCCTCTCCCAGCCCCAACCGCACAGCGGGCTCGTTCCAACCTGCCTGAGCAGTACAACCGTTCGCAGACTGGAACCCCCGACACCAGTGCCTCGGCCAATGCTCAGCCGCCACCCATGGCTCCTTGGGCCAAGGATCCTGGCGCTGAGGGACACAAGGGTCCAAGCCTGAAGGAGATCCAAGAAGCTGAGGCTCGTAAGGCGGCCAAGGCTGAGGAGGCTGCTGCTGCTCAGAGGAAGGCTATTCTCGAGCAGGAGGCTGCCGCTCTTCGTGAGCGAGAGAAGTCTGCTGCAGCTGCCAATGCTGGCCTGCCTGCTTCCAGCACCTGGGGTCACGGCTCTCCTGCACCTTCTGCTAGCCCCTGGTCTAAGCCTGGCCCCCCCAAGGGAACCACGTCTGGCTCTACTCCTTCGGGTTCATCTTCTAACAAGAAGACTCTGGCTGAGATCCAGCGTGAGGAGGAGCTCCGCAAGGCTAAGGCCAGCCAGGCTACCGTCCAGTCCGGCACGCCTGCCAGCGTATCCAAGAGCTACGCCAACCTCGCTGGCAAGACCGGCCAGCCGATCCTCACTAATGCTGCTTCGGCCGCCGCTGCTGCCGCTGCCGCTGCCGCCCCGCCCCCTGGAAGCGGATGGGCTACTGTCGGAGCCGGTGGCAAGGTCAAGATTCCCACCGGCCCGTCGTCCTCTCAGGGTCGATCGGTCAGTGCCGCCAACATCAAGCCTATCTCTTCGCCCGTCAAGCCAGTCTCCAAGCCAGCGACTTCTGGTAACGGTAAGGTCGATACCGGCAATGCCGCCATGGACGAGTTCAACAAATGGGTCGGCCAGGAGCTGTCCCGAGGAATCACTAGTGTTAACGACAGTAAGTAACCTGATATAACACCTATTCGAGGCTTTTGTGACTGACCTTTATCGCAGTTGCCAGCTTCCAGGCTACCCTCAACATCCTCCCTCTAGACTCGGGCTTGATCGCCGACGCCGTCTACGCCAACTCTACAACCATGGATGGTCGCCACTTTGCCGAGGAGTTTATTCGCCGCAAGAAGCTTGCTGAGCGTGGCGTCGTTGAGAAGCAGCCCGCCGATTCCAAAGGCGGCAATGGCGGTGGCTGGAACGAGGTTGCTAAGAAGGGCAGCTCGAACAGCGCTGCCGGCATCGCCCCCGGACCCCGTGACGATGCCAACATGCAGGCCGCCGGTTTCAAGGTGGTGCCTGGCCGCAAGAAGGGAAAGAAATAGACGCCTCGGTCTCGAAGGGGTCTAGGACGCAATTTGTCGGCACGGCCTTGGATTTGTTTGTGTTGCGCACATGTTATGCTCATGATGGTCCCGTCGGCAATGTCTCGAGACTCGAAAAGCTTTGCTGTTTGTATTGAAGCTCTGGGGTTAGTTTAAGCGGGTGGATGGACGGATGAGATGTTATGGTTTTGATGATGATGGACAATGACGGTACGGAGACAACGCTTGATGAAAAGGGCTGGGGGGTCATGTGCGGAAAAGTCTGTCGGACGGGTGGTGGAAGCGCCATGTTTTAAGGGAGCGATTGTATTAGATGCGAGGCTTGTGTAGTGTGTAGTGTGTAGTGTGTTAGTGAGCAAGTCAGCGTTGTTGAGGAACTTGACGTCTTTAGTCGTGATGCGTGCTCCTCGCCTTTCTGTCTTGATACATCACATAAAACACCACGTTGGTAGTCATCCTTTTCATGGGCAGACTACTTGTCATAGTTGGTTTGCATTCACTTTTTTGTCTATACCTATCATCCCGACCATGCAACATTCACACATATCTCGTATCCCTTTTCCCCTTTTTGATGCTTGTCATGAACCTCAGGAGGTCTTTAAACCCTCCATCAAGCTCTCCAAGAGCTTCCATCCTTCACTTCCCTCCCAATTCTCCTTGCCCCTACCCATGACGCTCCTTATCGCGCTCCTAGCCTTGCCCTTCCACTTTGTGCCGATGGTCTCGACGTCAGGGCCCCAGTTCTCTAGCATCGACACCAGCTCATCGGTTCTTGTAACGACAATCAACCAAGCTCCCTCATTCACAGTCCAGTCCCGCGCCTCATCGGCCGTCGTAGATGCCGTGCCGGGCAAGAGACCGCTACCAGCAGTTCCCACGGCTGCACGCCATGCTCGCTCCGCTGCCTCAATGGCACCAGCATGATCTCTTCTCCAGGCGCGGAGTCGAGACACAAGCGTCCACAGCTCTGAGCGCTGCGTAATCAGGGGCACCATCTCTTCTTCGAAAAGTCTCATGACCAATCTCTCAGGAGATCCGCGAGGGGGGTCGTAGATGCCCGAGCTAGTCTTCTTCTCAACAGAGAGGACGGCATCTTGGAGCAGGGCGCTGACAACATCAACATCGATGGCGTCTTCAGATTTACGGATGCGGATGATGTGGTTGAGAGCAAGAATCATGTCGCCCAACGCAGGAGGTTGCATGCGCGAGCCTAGGGTGAGCACGTTGTCCCAGATTCGCCAATTATCATGGGCGATGGAGGCACCCTTCTTGTAAGCAGCAAGTGACTGGGCCAAGAGAGTCGCTGGATCACGGTCTGATGGTCTTGAAGATACAGCAGTAACCATGTCATCTTCTTCGTCCTCGGCAGGCGCTTGAGTGACAACCTCTTTCGCAGTCTCATCCTTGGGCTCGGCGCTGACTTCGCAGTAGAGACTCCAGAGTGCACTACCCAGGTTACTCCACGTTCGAGCATCTTCACCTCCAGCTGTATCGCTCGCGGATGCAATAGACCGGTTAAAGGCCGCGGCAGCATCTCCAAACTGTGCGAGACGCAGGTTGATGTCTCCAAGACGACTCCACATCTCGGGGCTGAGACGGTTGACGGTTGTGGCCTTCTTGTAGGCGTCACGAGCCTTTTCCCACTCCTTGTTCTGGAGGTAGTGTTCACCGAGAGACTTTTGAGCACGAGCATAGCGGTGCTTGGAGATGTCCCACGCGCGTTCGTAGTGAGCCGGTTCGTTCTCAGTGTCACCCAGGATGCAGAACAGGCGAGGAGCGTTGGGTGGTGGAGGATCTCTCTCAGGTCCCTCAAAGTCTGAGCCCTTGAGGCGTGTCACGTCGTCTCCAATATCCTCCTCGTCAGGGTCTGAGGGAGACGCGGTGTCTCCTGTGCGATGGAACAACCTCCATCGAAGAATGCCCTTGGCCTTTTCCTCGCCACCGCTACCACGGCCGTCCTCATCTTCGCTTGCTGCAGCAGTAGCGAGACACAGGGCGACTTCAGCCCAGAGACGCAGACGCTTGAAGATCTCAAGGGCTGAGGCCAATGAACCGACACCAACCCAGGCATAGGCGAGTTCAGACTCCAGATGCCATCGCGGGGGAGAGGAGAGGGCATGAATGTACTGGAGACGCACGTGCGCTGGCGCAGACTCAGAGGCCTTGGGAGCTGGAAGGAAGGTTGTAGGCTTGCTCTGAAGCGATCTTGTATCTTGCTCAGGGGTCGTAACCTGAATAGCTGGAGCATCCGTCTCGGTACCCTCCTCCTTTGCCTCAGCTTTATGCTGAGCTTCGGCCGTGGTGTCAGTTAGGACCTGATCAGACACCGCCTGCAGTTGAAGTACACCACGCTCAAGAGTTCGGCTGCGGTGAACCTCTATCCGGGAGCGCACCAGCAACGCCTGGGTATAGATCTGCCAGTTGGTCGACTTGTCAGAAATGACACGCACGGCGTACGGCAACACTTCAGCGGATGTCAAAGTGTCCACAGGTGAAAAGGCGTCCTTGAGAGTAGCCTCAGTGAGTAGGATGATCTGGTCGAGGGGCGAGAGCTGAGGCTGATCATCAGGTGCGAGATCCGCCAAGGCAGCAGGGAGTATGGCCTTTTTATCATTTCCATTTCCATTTTCTTCCTTGCTGAAGTGGATTTCCTCTAGAAGAGTGTCGTTGTTAAGCTGGAGAGCCTCCGGTTTAGCTTCATCATCACCGGCATCCGTCTGCTGTTCAGCACCACTCTTTGCCAACACGACGAGCTGGCTGATGTTCTTCTCCTGGAACTTGGTTCTCTTTCCAAGGGCACCGGAGAGCGCATATGCGAAGCCGCTGGTCTGGGTGGCTTCCTGAAGCACTTCCCTGGCTTTATCGTCCCGGCCAAGCAAGATATAGTTGTTGGCCGCTTCAACGAGAAACTGGACCTTGTCTTCGCGGCTCCAGGTATCGTCACCCGAGGCCCATACCTCCTCACCAACGATCTGCGATCGCACGGAATCGATGCCATCGAGAATCTGGGATGCCAGGGTTGGCACGTCGCTCCACTGAGAGCTGCGGGTGAAGTTGGAGCCTGGTCCAAGACTGGGTTGCGTCAAGAGCTTGTAGTGCCATACATTAACACGTAGTCGGGTCCACGCAAGGCTGTACTTGAGCGGTTGCTCGTCGGGCGGAACCTCAACCACATCGCTGCTGGCCTGGCTGAGCGATTGTGTAATAATGTGCCTCGCGAGGGCGAAGAGTTCCAGGTGGGGGATGTAAGTGTAGGGTGACACGCCATCGACTTCCAAGTCACCGAGACAGGCCTTGTGAAGATGATCCTGAGTACCTTTTGAACTATCCGACTGAGTATCAGCCCACGCCTTGGTGAGCCGGGCACTGAGGGCATTTGACTCGGGGAGAATGGGGCCGGTGACGTTGACCTGAAGGAAGGCATTCAAGGCAGCGACGCCAACGGAGAGAACCTGAGCGACGTCGGCATCCGGAGCCGGGCTAGAGCCAGCAGCACCGGTCAAGTGGGCGGCAAAGGCTTGTATCAAGGCCCCGGCCACCGGAGCAGGGGCGGAGGATGCGGAGGCCGAGCCCGGAGTTGATTCACCCGCCGATGGCCCGGAGGATAGAATAATGGAGGCATAGTGCCCGGAACGCAAGGCGCTCCCAAGCGCAGAGGAGTTTGCCATGAAAGCGGCTGTATCTGTTTTCCAGATGAAATTCGGTGCGAGTTGGGCGATATGGGCACAGGGTTAGGTCTTCACCCCGTCCGTGACTCTTGCACCGTACGCCCTCTTTTTTGGTGGCGTGATTCTTTCTGCAGACTGCTGAAAATTCGATATAGTGTAAACAATAGCAGAGGATTCGCTTGTTGCGCAAATCTCTCTTTGTTTCACTGTTGTATCGTCAGTTGTGTTGCTGTAACTTGTGCGCCGTTAGGCTGCCAGCCAATCTAGCCCGAGTTTTTTTTTTTTTCCCTCCGTCTCCGCACCAGAACCTTCCTCTAACTTCTCCTCACCTGGCCCTCACCGAAGACCACACACCGGGGAATATCCACCAACAAGTAACGTCTTCGTTTGACTTGCGGATCTTCTCCCCGGACCCAAAATTCAAACTCCCTGACCGAATCTTGGCTTTGATGTGTGGTGAGATGCATCTATTAGGTAGTCAGTACAGCCAAGGATCCCACTCGCTGGTACGTAATACTCGAAATTGCCTGCATGACTTTCACGAGCGAAACCTGCCCTATGGAACCGTGGATCTATATCGTGAGATCCGCTCGCTCCCTCGCTCGTGAGTTTTTCTCCTTGGTCCGTTCACCGTCCCGCTCCCTGGACTTCCGTCTCCTGAAACTGGGTCACCAGTTGAAAATAACGGCTTGCCTTCTCCATATCGCCGTCTCGGGACGGTTTGCCACTCGCCGCGCGTGGTTGAAGCGCCTCTTTGTATAACCAGTCGCTCGTAGATCTGAACACAGCCAGTAGATACCTGCAGCTCTCTTGAACCCGAGGCATTGGCTAGGACCCTTATTCCTGCAAAGGCAAGGGCTCTTCAAAGAGCCTCTTTTTGTCCCGGCTTTTCGGCATCGCTTGCGTAGCATTGCCCAAACGTCTTACGTACAGCCATTAGGCTTTGATACTGACATCGTCTTTTGGACGAGTCGCATAGTCGGGCCAAGATATCATTTCCTACCGGGTCAGCGAGTCCAGGGTCAACTCTTCCGGCCGCTCTTTCAAGCCCAAAACACCCGCCATTGTTCGACAAACGAAGAATTTTCTCCAAATCATACTCAATCCTTGCCGGGTATTGGTCAACCCGTCGAGAACTGATGCGAGGTTTCTCAGACTGTGGATACAGTCGGTAACAATCGTCCCATGTACCACGTTAGCTTGATCCTCTCTCACGGGCGACCCAATATCCAGGCGATAAATTATTGCGGCTATTGTTCAAAGAGCAAAGCGTGTATTTGCTCAGCCCAACCGTCCAACAAACCGTCGAGACCCGTCGCGAAACTGACAAGGCTCCATGTCCGTTCACCACGCCTGTCCCGCTTTTCAGTCTCGGCCTAGACCAAATCGACCTCGACAGCCCGTGATGGAGACAAGGAAACGAGCCTCTCTCAAGACCCGCAAGTGCGTCGACAGAAAGAGACACGAAAACGGATCCTCGACATGGACCGGCGTCCACTAGTCAAGACGTTCGGGGCAGGGGCATCACCATCCGAAACGTACCAATGGGGCGACCGAGTTATTGTGAGGACACAGCCTTGTGACAAACGCCAACCATCAATCAAGCATCGTCACTGTCAGTCGAGACCTGAAGAGGCTTTCGGGGCAATTAATTCTATGCATCGAGATGGTGGCCGGATCACCAACACTAGAGACGCCACCGCGGCCACAGCCACCAAGTCACTCTTTTCGGTGCAAGACCAAGGCTTGTGAGAGGCTCTTCTCACTTAAACTTGGCGCAACGGCTCCGCTACAGCAAACGACGATCCGTTGACAAGCTGCTTTGGAGCTTGAACCTGCGGCCATAGCCATCAACGCCACTGTGGCCGGGCGCTGTACTCTGTACGTAACTCAACCATAGCCCAGCAACGCCCATTGTATGTACTGTAGACGCTCGGTGGATGGTCGACCATTGCTGTTGTGGATCGAGACTGACGGTCATCGCAGTCAGCCTGCAGTTCCCTCGTCAATCTGAGCTCAGGCGAGCTCAGGCTAGTCAGCTGCCATTCTGGCCCGAGTTGCCTCTATTGTGCATCCCATCACTACGGATAGACCCCGTCGAGGTTCGGTCTTGCATCTCCAAATCGACAGCGTCGTTCAACCTCACGTGCTCATTGTCGTGGCATCCAAAGAGGAATCTTACGCTGGCGACTGGACTGAGATTCTGACAGGGCACCTGGTGCGGCGCGACGCAACAGGCGGCCAAGTCCGTAACTGACGGGGATTGGTGCCAAGAAACCGCGGGTTTTTCATGACTGGGGCAACACGGTGCCGAAGGTGGGCGACTGCAGCCGCGAACCAACTGTTGTGATTGCTCGCAGATGAAGGAATCCGTCAAGTGGGCCCCGTCTTGGATCCTGAGCTCTCGGCTACTGTACGTTTCAAGACGGTTCATTGGGCGCCGGGTCGGGAAACTTGACCTGGACATGGGAGCGGCTCGGACATCCCATGTCCGACGACATCGAAACCCTGGCCTGGCTACAGTTTATTAGCGGGCCCCGTTGAGGGACAGCAATACATTGTAGGTACTTACCTGAGAAGGGGCAATAAAAAGCAGGCTCAGCAAAGAGCTGAGAAGCGTCAGGCGCGCCAGGCGCTGCTCGCCAGGCCGACGGTGTCAGCTTGCCGACTTGACCTTCGCTCTCGGTTTGCTGAATTAGTGCCCAGGCCGTCCCAAGGTTTCTAGGTCATTGTCTCTGTCAATACTCAGCTCTGCTGGATATGGTGACTGCCTCCCCACGCGGCAAGGGCCACTGTTTAGGCAAGTTGCCGGGTCTGTCCCTAGGTCGCAAGCCTCCCCAATAGTGTTGATGGGTGGGTGTGGTCATCGCATATGTAACATGGTGCTGCAGCCGTGGGAGTGCCCCGGACGACTTGCAGTTAGGACGAGGGCAGTCCTTGGATATTGAGTAACGGAACCAAGTTAACAACTCAAGCTGGTGGAGAAGGGGTATTGAATATCTGGGTGCCAAGTTGAGGACCGTGCAAGAATTGCAGTTTCATGGTTATGTCTGGGTCCTGGTCGTGATCTTGGTGTTGAAGTCACGTCTTGCTGGCTGTCTCGCTCATCCCGGAGATGAGGTATCAACTTCTCCTGTCAGCCCGACAGGACACATTGTGATAGCTCACGGCACCCAAGTCCTCTTTCCTGAACCTGAGGAGCGGGAGGATGGGCTGACGGTCTGGCTCATCCCCAGATTGTACGGATACAGCAACTACAGTCTTGGCTGCCGTCGCTCATCCCGCTCCCCGTCTCGGCGTAAGCCCTCCACGTGACCGGTCGAGATGCAAGGAAACCGGTAGGGAGAGTGATGAAGTTGATTCATGACGTCGGTTAGGGTCGCCAAGGCAATGTAGGATTTCTCGTGGCTTGGCTGAGTGGAAGTTGGTGTGAGGGCGGCAAAATTGACGGGGAGGGAGAATGCTTGGGTCTGGGTTCTAAAAAGCTTGGAGTTGGAGAAGCAACAAGCATAGAAGCAGGATAGAAGATGGAAAGAAGGACAAGCATTGGCACCTTCCTTCGAGATGATCAGCGCTGCAACTCCTCTACTGCGTATAGTATCGAGTCGCTATGGATCTGGGGAAAGCGCGATTCACTCAGTCTGAAAGGGTCTGCTCCATCATCGATCCATTGAATCTCCAAAAATACCAGACGGTTGGAACGCCTCCCTCAGGTTGTGGACCTGGATCAGTCAGTTGGACGCGGATGCGCACGCGACCCCATCTCTCTTCCAACACAACGCAGGGTCTAGGGTCCATCCAGCTCATCATTACTGTACTTGTCACTGAAGTACCTTCTGCAAGTCAGGGAGCCTTGCATTTTGCCGTCAGTTTGAATGTGTCGATACATTTACAGTCCAGTATTCCCACCTCACCAGGAAAACTTCCGCCCAACGGAACCCCAAATTGGGCAGGTGCAAGTGTCGCTTCGATTATGACGTCAGTATGCTGCTGGATCGATCCCGCACAAATAATGTCCGAAAAATGACCTCCCACGGCTGGACTCGCCTGGACATGGCTCAAAGTCCATTCTTGTCAATTTGCGCAGGACCGCCTAGCCAAAGAAAACGAATCACCCCGTCTCTCTTCGGACAAGCCTCTCATTTGCTCGTGTTGCGAAAAATACTGAAATTTGAGGTGCACCTCGGGCAAACGCCTCTTGCGCTAGAGCGTTTACAGTTGTGCAGATCCTTCGCTGCATCTCCTTGATTGGTCGTATATGTGGGCCAGCCTGACTTGCTGCTTAGCGCGGAACATAGGCTGTTGTGTTCCAGGGAAAAGACCGCTCGTATCGACGACATCTCAAGTCCTTTGAGTGGAGGAAACGGGGTCAGATTTGGGGGAGTCCTGAAGGCAAGGATTTCTCAACTTAAGGGACGCTCAGACAGCTCCACACTGCTTTTTCAGTGGAGGTTGCCCCTCTGAGGAGAGTCCCTCCAGCGGCCTCCAGTCGCTCTGCCGCCGGGCGAGCACCAGTGTCGTCATTTCAACCAACAGCACTCAGCTCGCATCCATAGCGCGGGTTCCAACCCTTTTACAGGTGCCCAGCAGGCACCGAGATTATCAAGTGTGCTGTGCAGCGATCAGCAGCATCCACACGCATAGGGAGGGTTGAAAGAACTCTCCAGGATGCCGGGGTTCATCATCAAGCAGTCTCTGAGTGGCCAATAGCCCGAGCAAACACGCAGACTGTCTCGGGGAAGCCATCCTGGCATGTACGAGGTACATGAGAGTGGGGAGAGGGGAAAGAGGAGACATCCTGGCCATGAAGATCCACCCCCCTTCTCCGTGGGCGTGGCAGCATCTCTCCACGGGGGTGGGGATGGGGCATCATGAGCATGGCTCCCATGAGAGATACATGGGCATGGGCATGGGAACCTCCAAGCAACGACTCGGCTCGATAGAATGGATACACTCTGCCTCCACTAGCTGATTTCTTTTAGCAAGCTAAACTGGTCCAGTCAGGCCAGACTCTGGCCAAGACTCGACGCGGCGAGCGGGAGTATTGCCTCTTGATTCAACCTGGTGATAGGATGGATGGCTGAGCTAAGAAGTACTCTCGTACTATCGAGAGATGTTGGTGGCACTCTGTGGAGAGCTGTAATTAAGAGATTGCCTCTGTCTGGTCAACTGCTTCTGTACTCGATCAACTCGAGACCTGACCAGCAATGCAACCTCGCGTCGTGGACAATGCAGATGGAAACAAAACTTTGTTCTCCCAACCCTGGGCACAAGTTCTCAATTCGGCCAGGTGAACCACTCCTCTGGGTTTTTCGGTGTCCAAGTTTCTGGGATGGCCTCCTCCATCAGGACGACGGGCAAGGCCAAGAGAGTTAATTCCCGGTGTCAGCAGAGTGTCCCCGAGTACGACGCAACGCCAAGTCCTGGTCCGTACGATCTCAGACGTGCCGTGAAAGAAGATGACTGTGGTGTAGGTTGAACAAAGGGACAAGGGCGAGTTTTTGGAGGGTAAAAGTCAGAGAAATCGAAACTGCAGAATCGATCGAGAGTCGGGATTGGTTGGTCGACTCTGAGGTGTGCATGCCGGTGGAAGGATCCATGTCCCGTTGACCAGAAGAACTGGAAGTCAGCTACTTTTGCCCAAGGTACAATCCCTAGCGTCGCTGGCGGTGTGGATACCTCGTCACCGCGTAGTAGTCCCGAGTAGTGGAATGGAAGTGAAGTTGCGCTGCTCCCCACTCCACTCCTCCTTCAACGAACCCTCGTTCGGCATGGCCGCTGTCGCCGCCGTCACTCGAGTCTGTCTGCTTCCCACTCTAAACCTGCCTTTTGGTTTGTATACGCCCCCAGGGAAGGAGCCATGATGAACATGGATCCATCCGTTGTGAGCAACAGCAGGTACTGTACGCGGACTAGGGTCAGCTTGCTCTTGCCTTGCCTCCGCCCATGCGAGATTTTATTTAACATCTCCAAAGTCCGCTGCCTCTGCTCATGTCTTCTCTACCTCCTCCTTCAGCCCTTGTCCTCTCTCTTTTCTGGACTTCTTTGCCTTGATACCCAAGGCATTTTCCGATTGGTCTTGGTCTGCTTGCTTCATTGCTTCGCAGGCTCTTTCTCAATTGGACTTGAATCTTGCCTCGTTCTTCACTTGAACTTGACTTGATCCCCCAACAAGGACCACACTCCCACGATCCTACTTCGATTCTTGCCTCGCAAAGAGCGCAACCGTCAAGATGTCCGACGAGGAGAAGAATGTCTCCCCCGAAAAGTACTCGGCCGACGGCGTCGACGTCGTAACGGGTCACCCCTCCGATAATGTCGATGGCCTCCACCGTCTTCTCAACAACCGACAGATCCAGCTTATTGCCATTGGTGGTTCCATTGGTACGGCTCTGTTCGTGAGTATCGGTGGTGGTCTCGCCAAGGGTGGTCCTGCCGGCCTGTTCCTGGCTTACACTCTGTACTCCGGTGTTCTCGCCCTCGTGAACAACTCGATCGCCGAAATGAGCACATATATGCCCGTCTCTGGTGGTTTCATCCGTCTTGCTGGCCATTGGGTTGATGATGCCCTTGGTTTCATGGCTGGTTGGAACTTCTTCCTATACGAGGGTCTCTTGATTCCCTTCGAAATCACCGCCATCAACCTGGTGCTGTCATATTGGGCGCCCAACATTTCGAACCCTGGCCCTACTGCCGGTCTCTGTATCGCTGTCATCATCCTCTATGCGTAAGAACCCATGCCCCCATGATCAATCCCGACTTTCTTTATCGCTGGACGCGCCGTGGCTATGCTCCGAAACTGGGCACCCTCTGGCCGGCCGTCGAGTGAGATTTTCTCCACGCCTTGCCCGCAGATGAATATCGCATGCTAAACTATGTGTGAATGTAGTGCTCTGAACATCTTGGCTGTCCGCGCCTACGGTGAAGCCGAATTCTGGTTGTCTGGTGGCAAGATTATTCTTATTCTGATACTCTTCTCCTTCACCTTCGTCACCATGGTCGGAGGAAATCCCCAAGGCGACGCTTATGGATTCCGTTATTGGAGCAACCCCGGAGCCTTTGCCGACGTGTACGGTACAGACGCCCTCGGTCGTTTTGAGGGTTTCCTAGGTGCCCTCTGGAGTGCCATCTTCACCATCGTCGGTCCCGAATACATCTCGATGGTGGCTGCCGAGGCTAAGCGACCCTCGATTTACATCAAGGCTGCCTTCAAGACAGTCTACTACCGATTCTGCTTCTTCTTCGTCACGGGCTCTCTCGCTGTTGGTATTGTCGTGCCCTGGAACTACGACAAGCTCCGGGCCATCTATGTCGACTTCACCGAGGGTGGTGGTGACGCTGGAGCCTCTCCCTATGTCATGGCCATGAACATTCTGGGCGTCAACGTTCTTCCCCACATTGTCAACGCCCTTATGATCACCTCGATTTTCTCGGCCGGTAACACATACACTTACTGTGCTACCCGTTCCCTGTACAGTCTGGCTCTTGAGGGCCGCGCCCCTCGTTTCCTGCGCAAGACCACCGCCCAGGGTGTGCCTATTTGGTGCTTCTGCGTGGTCATGATCTTCCCCATGCTCTCATTCTTGTCTTGCAGCAGTGGTTCAGCCGAGGTGCTCAACTGGCTCATTACTCTTATGACGGCTGGCGGAATCATCAACTATCTCGTCATGGGTATCACCTTCATCTGCTACTACCGAGCATGCCAGGCCCAGGGAGTCGACCGAACAAAGATGCCTTACTATGGCCGCTTCCAGCCTTACGGTGCCTACCTGGCTCTCTTCATCCAGGTCCTCGTCGTTCTCTGCTACGGCTACAAGTCGTTCCAGCCCTGGAGCGTCAAGGCATTCTTCCAGAACTACACCATGCAGATTATTGCTCCTCTGCTGTTCATCGGCTGGAAGGTTGTCAAGCGCACCCGCTGGCTCCGTCCTCACGAGGTTGATCTCATTTGGGAGCGCCCCATCATCGATGCCTACGAGAACTCCATCACGGAGCCTGCTGTGGGCTTCTGGACCGAAATGGCCCAGCTGGTTGGCCTCCGACGGAAGAAGTAAGCCTGTTCGAACTGAATTGGGCAGGACTGCGGATATGGAAACATGAATATGGGCTGGAGATACCATCTTGGGATGCAATGTGTACATGTTAATAGAACCAACGAATTGTTGGATGCAGAGCGGTTGGCTTGAGATTATACCCGAGATACGAATATTATGCTCTGTTGCCTGATTTCAAATCATGTTTAATGCCTCTATGTAATGTGATTTACAGCCTCAATTAACGAGCAAGAAGCGTGGTCTCATGCGATGTCTATCATGACGAGTTCCCCTTGTGATTCCAACATGTTGTCCCGCATCAGTGTCGGGCGTCCGCACTCCATCTTCTGCCAGCCGATGATGCTTGTTCTACAACACGGCCAATGATCCTCCAACGCCGATCCCGTGATCGGCAATATAAAGCGTTGCATCGATGCACCTTCCTATTGTGATGTTGATATTCAGTGACGTTGAAGTTGGAGGGTTGAATATCGTGGCTTGGAGGCGGGGGATGCAGATCGCGGGTTGACTTTACAAGGGGGGGGAGTGAGCAGTGTGTACATATGCGGCAGCAGGGGACGGGAAACCCATGCCAAGGAGAATTTTTTTTAAACAAGAGGCTCTACCTGCATGGCGTGGCTGCGCTTGGTGTTTTTCTAGAAACGGGGGAAGAAGAAACGGAGGGTAGGGTGTGAGGCCAAGAGCCTCTTCTGATAAGGAAACTGCTTCTTGATGGTTGGGTGTGGGGCAGACGAGGGTAGGGGAGGGGGGTGGAGAGTTGATAAGGTTTTGCAATATCTTTTGTCGAGACGATGTACATATCGTAAGGGGGGGTGGTATCGTGGAGATATCTCGGTGTCGATTTGTTGACTACGACGATGACTTCAAAGACACGGCTCCGTGGTGGTATTAGTTGAGGATGAAGACTTGCTTCCAGCCCATTTCATCTATGATCTACGTCTTGAACTTGTGGTACAACTGTTCAAGGTATCAGACTTTGACCGTCACCGAACCCGGGGCTTTCGGAGCATGCGGGGCCCGTTGACGCCAGAAATGTGGAGTTGTACGCCGGAGGATCGCCGGGGGCGGCGGTGATATTCACGGAGGAGTGGAGGAAGACTTGTGACTGTATGACACTATTGCAATTTATTCAGGAATTAGAAGTAGGAATACCGGCTCATCCCTTACTACTCACATCGCCAAGATAGAATGAGTCTCTGTGATCCAAGAGTTGGGGTAAAAATCTTGGCCAGCGATCAAAGCTTGGTGGTTTAGAGACTTTTCAAGCCTTCCAAGCCAAGGACCTCTTTTCTCCTCACTCTCGCCGAGACATTGGGGGTACACCATCTCAAAATTCCAAGCCAGGAACGAGGCGTGTTGCCAAGCTCACAATCCAAGGTAGAGAGTACTGCGCCATGTCAAGTATCCTCAGAAGAATAGACGGACAGCATTTCTCGTCTTTACTATTCAATAAACACCCCATCTCTCAATTGTTTATAAACAGATCCAGTACAGCAGCACTGTGTTCATTCACCACAGAGGATTTTGTTGTTGTTGGATAGATTCTCATGGGTGCTGGCCAGGCCCTCCTGGTGGGCAGTAAGCGATCGATTTTCAACAACCACTGGTGAGATGGCCGAGTTGGTTATGGCGTCAGGTTAAGGTCACCTTAACAACCTAAGATTCCTGATGGAGCAATCCTCCTGGGTTCGAGTCCCAGTCTCATCATCAAAGATTTCTTTTTTGCCGATTCTTGCTCTTTGTTATACACTTGCATACACACATGTGTTTTTTTGCTCATCGTCACTCTTCAAGCAGTATCTAGGTACTCAGTGAGATGTGCGTCGCCTGCGATCTGTAGCACATTCTTCTTTTGCCACAGAGGGCGAGGCTGCGGTCTCTTGTTCTCCTCCGTGTTGATATCAGGTTACTGAGATGAATGTAGATCGAGGCAGCAGCTCTGCCCTTGCACGAGTATCTCATCACTTCGAGTTTAACATACATAGTTGCAATCATGGCATAAACTCAGCCAAGGCCTCAACTCAACCAAAGTCTCAACTGTCTTCCAAGTCACTAACGTACCCGTACGGGTGATGCAGATTCAACATTAACACACTTCATTCATCATTCTAGATTGATCGTAATCAAGTCTATTTTTTGGCTCTATCTAATTGCCAGCCTCCAAAGCCACCAAGTCGAGGGCTCAACACGGTCGGGATCCTCCAATCCCACGCGTCATTCCTCGTTACTCCATGGTGGTCGTCTAACAGAGCAGTCCGTCTATCGGGAGCCCAAGTGTGCAGTCATCCATTACCAAGACGCACCCCTAACTTTTTTGATCAACGCATGACAAAGGAAATATGGTATGAGGTCATCAGAAACAAGTCGTCAACATGGTCGAGTATAGGTGTTGGGTATGTAGGATGCGATTACAGATCCTCCTCATCGCTGAACACCTCCTCACCACGCTTTCGGCGAGCCATACGCTCTGTAGTCTGGTTAGCTTCTGTCTTGACACGTCTTTGGTAATGTGGAATAACTTACCCTTCTTCTTCTTTCGGGCCTCAGAAGAGCTGAGCTTGGCCTTCTTCTTGGTGGAGACGATCTTGTTACCCATGGCATCAAACTTCTCCTCCTCATCACCGTCGTCGGCCTTGAGACGGGGACCAGAACCCTGGCCCTGGACCCAGTTGTGACCAGAAGGAGTCATCTTGCCGTCCATGACAGCCCAGACTTCCTCAGTCAAGTCCTTGGTGAACTCGGCAGAGTGGGTAATGATGATGACACCACCCTCGAAGTTCTTGAGAGCCTTGGACAGGGCACCGAGAGAGTCACGATCGAGATAGTTGGTGGGCTCGTCAAGGACGATAAGATGGGGTCGCTGCCAAGAGCAAGCAGCGAGCACAGTCTTGACACGCTGACCACCAGACAGACCACGCATGCGAGAGTGAGAGACAAGCTCAGCGTCGAGACCGAAGTTGGCGCAGTGAGCCTCAATCTCCTTTCGGACCAGAGGACGGAACTGACCAGAGGCGAGGGCCTCCTTCATATCAACATCAGCAACCATCTTCTGGTGAGAAGCCAGAAGCTCGTTACGGGGAAGCCAGGCGTTGTCGGCCGTCATCATGGGGACCCAGCGCTCGTTCTTCATGCCGACGTTCTCACCGAGGGCGAAAGAACACTCGTACTCGTAAGAGTTCTTGAACTTTCTTCGGCTGTTGATGCCAATGACACGTCGCTGAGAGCCCTCAACACGGAAGATCTTGTCCATGGCCTTCTCGTCGGCCTCGGTGATGATCTTGTTGGCGCGGTCCATGGTCTCACGATCCTCACCAGTCTGGAATCGCCACTGGATGTACTCGGAGGGAGTCTTGTCCAGGTGGTTATCAATGTGAGCGAAAGCGTGCTGCTTGATGTAGGCGATACGGATGTTCTCGTGCTGGTAGATCTCACCCTCGGTGGGGATGAGCTCACCAGTGAGGACGTTGATCAGAGTAGACTTGCCGGCACCGTTGGGACCGATAACGGCAATACGAGAGCCAAGAGAGCACTGGAAAGAGATGTCGGAGATCTGGGGCTTGGAGGTACCAGGGTACTGGAAGGACATCTTGGTGGCACGCAGGATGGCCTTGGCCTTGGTCTTGACACCCTCGAGGAAACCGGGCTCGGGGAATTGGAACTCGATCTCGGAGGCACCGAGCTCATAGTAAGATCGGGCAGAGGGGACACGCTGGACAAAGGCAGCCAGGTTACCACGGTAGCGCTTGAGCTTGAAGCGCTCGTAGTGAACGATGTGCTGGCAGACGTTGTCGAGGAAGCCAGAGTCGTGAGAGACGATGATGGAAGTGCAGGGGGAGTTGATGAGGTACTCCTCGAGCCACTTGACGTTCTTCACATCCAGATGGTTGGTAGGCTCGTCGAGAAGCAGAATATCGGGGGCCTCGAAGACGGCACGGCACAGGGCCAGCTTCATCTTCCAACCACCGGAGAGGGCAGTGATCTCACCAGTGATCATCTGGTCAGTGAAACCGAAGTCGTTGAGCTGCTTCTTGACGTCGTCCTCAGTGGTGGCGACACCAGCCTCACCAAGCTTCTTCATGGTCCAGTCAATGGTGGTCATCTCAGTATCGGCAGAGTCCAGGTCGTGCTCGACGAAGACAGTCTTGACCTCGCTCTGCTTGGGGAAACCCTCGACCTGCTCGTTGTTGATGGCGCGCATGAGAGTGGACTTGCCGGAACCGTTGGGACCGCAAAGACCGTAACGCTGGCCTCGCTTGAGACGGAGGTGAGTCTGGTTGAGAAGAATCTTGGCACCGTAGGCAAGAGAGAAGGTACAGTTGCAAAGATCCTCGCCCTCCTCCTCGTCCTCCTCGGCCTCAGCCTCGGCGACGGCACCGGGAAGGGTGGCCTTGCGGATGGACTCGACGAGAGACTCGGCACTGTCGATGCCAGAGATGACAGCGACGTAGGCCTTCAGGTTGTCAACCCAGATGGTGGACTCGGTCTCCTTCTCGTCGACGAGCTGACCAGCAATGGCAGCGATGTGCTCAGCAACGGGGCCCATCTTCTCAAGGTAGTTGGCGAACTTGGGGGAGATGGCAGCCTTGACCTTGGGGAGAACGACATTGATAGCACCGTCGTTGCGAGCCTCGGGAATGACACCGTCCTTGATGTCACCGACACGGGTGAGGGTGTCAAGGGCCTGCTTGGTCTTCTCACGGGCCTCGGGGTCAGCCAGGTTGTCGTAGTTCTTCTGGAGACCGGGCATCATCTTGGGCAAGAAAGGAGCAACGATGTTGGGGTCGTCGACGAGCTTGCACATGTTGTCGACAATGACAGCCGACTTTCGCTTGATACCAGTATCACGCTCAGCCAGACCACGATCCAGAAGAGGAACCATGAGGGCAAGAGTGGGCTCCTGGACCTCAGTGACGAAGGTGGTAGCACCGAGCAAGTGAACAGTCTCGGGGACGTTCTCGGGCTTGGCGATACACTTGATAAGCTCGGGAATGAAGCGCTCGATATCCTTGTTGACGATCAACTGGCAGAGCTGCTCCATGGCCTTGTAGGCACGCTCCTTGACCTCCTTCTTGGTGTCCCACATGGACTCGGAGATGACGGGAATGAGCTCAGGGACACGGTAGGCGAGCTGAGCGGGAGAGCTCTTGACGAGAGCATCGATGAAGTCGAGGGCAGCCATCTTCTCGGGCCACTTCTGAGCGGTGCGGATGGACTCCATAACGGCAGGGAGGGCAGCCTTGACAGCGTTGGCGTTGATGGCGCCAGCGATGGCGAGAACGGCGGCCTGAGCGGCATTCTTGACAGCGGTGATCTTGTCGCCAACGGCGGCAAGGACGTTGGGGAGGAGGACGACGAGGTAGGGCTCGACGGCAGCGGAGATCTCGGAGTGAGAAGCGATGGCCTCGATGGCAACGCAAGCCTTCTCACGGGCGACAGCGTCCTTCTTGCTGGCGAGCTGCTTCTTCAGGCCCTCGATGACCCTGCAACAAGTGGTGGTTAGCACTAAAATTCCCGCTAAAAAATTTTAATGGGCGCGAGAGGGGTGACCAGAAATGGGGCTAGCGCCCATGAAGGGTCGCCTTGACCAGAATCTGGCGGGGCAAGATTGGACAAGCGGCGAAGGAGGGGGAGGGGTAGACAGGCGGGAGATGCAGAGAAAACTGCCGCGGGCACAGGCCTGAAGTCCATGCACCATGCCACTAAGCCGCATCCCACACATCCCACGCATCGTAATGCAGAGTGAAAGCCAGGCGATGCCGGTTCCCTGGTGCAGGAAGTGAGGCAACGCGGGTGCGTAACGTTGCCCCGTGGCAGACATGTGAAATAAGCACCGTCGGAATGCTCGCCCAACGCTGCCCAAGGAGGATGAAATCAGAATTTTCAAGGGCAAACTCACTTGTCGGGGACAGCCTGGTCGCCAATGCGGCCGTTGATGAAAGAGGCCAGCTCGTTGGAAGACTCCTTGATATCAGCAGAGTCCTTGGACACGGTGAGCTTCTGGAAAAGCTCGTCCAGGACCTTGATCGACTGCTGGTTCTCGGTAGGCATCTTGTCGATGTTTTCGGTTTTTTCTTTTCTGGGGTATTAAGAAAGAGGATCGTCGGGGCCAACAGATATCGATGGAGGAGTCGATTCTGTCCTAGGCGGCGGTGACGATGGGAATTCCTCTTGGAGGGGGCGGGGTTTGTTCAGTGGAGGTGAGTCCGAAGAACAAACGAGCACGCGACAAGAAAGGAAGAGTCGAAGAGGTTCGTCTGGAGGGGGACGACCGTGGAGAGATGGAGGAGGAAGAAAAAGAGAGAGAGGGAGATGGAGGGAGGAAGAAGTCAAAAAGGAAGAGAGGGAGGGAAAAATCTGGAGCTTCTGCCACAAAGTTTTATGTGCCTCTCACTGCTCGCCTCCCAGTCCACAACTTTTTTTTTTTTTTCTCGCTGGGGTGGCGGGCAGAGGAGACCGCGGCCCAATCCCATTGGGGACCACCCACCAAAATTTTTTCCTCTGGCGCTGGGTTACCCCTCCACCCCTCCTTCCCTCCCTCCGTCTCAGTGCTCGACTCAGGCTTATCGGGTTTATCAGCTGCGGGCTAAACCTTTTTAGGTAAGTGGGTGAGGGCGGTGAAAGGCCGGGCCCCTGTGCGGCACCTGGCACTGAGGCCAAACGACGTCGCCCTTGGAACGGCTTGAGAAGCCCCCTGTGAAAGCTCCGATGCTAGACCCATGCACAAGTAATGCGCTTTGCAGGCGGTGATGCATTTTTTCGTCGTTGGGAGGCAAACCCAAGGATGTTGGTGAACCATGCCGAGAGAGAGATCAAGATCATATCATGGATCTGTATTGTTGCTTCTTATCATTACCTATGCCGATGCTGCCTTCTAGATTGCATCCTCAGCAGCATGTCTTAGTCTTGTGCTGTGCGAGCCACACTGATACTGCCTGGGCGGCTGCATATCTGACTGCGTTGGGCTTCTCCCTCCTCCCAATCCCAACCACGGATGTTGTCGGATGAATATTGGCATTGAAAAGGCTGGCAAGGCTCTCCCCTAAAAGTCAGCGGAGTATCGATCCAGTCTTTTCGCCCACCTGCGTCCGGGAGATATCCACTTCCCGCCGTCTCCATGACGAGCCGTTTGTCGCAGAGTGTTTCGATATCCTTGAAATTTTGATGCCCAGCTTTGCCATCTGCGGTTCCGTCTAGTGCCAGGTGCCCAGGCATGGACTCTCAGTTCTGACAGCTGGCCTCCAAGTCCGTTTGCTACCCCCGTATTCGTACTCCAGACCCCGGAGGCGGTTTCCGGGAAACTGGAAGACGGTGGCTTGACTCGCCACAAGTTGTCAGCCTCTGGAACTATTGCTTCGAGTCAGGGTGGCCGCCACGTTATCAGATTACGGTTCAACGACGCAAGGCGTGAAATTTTATCGACCCCGAGCACAGCGAGAAAAGGCTTGCTCGGGTAGTTGGTTCGGTTCAGATTTCTTCATCTACTATAAGGCGCTTACTTTACTTTTTCCAACTTGAACTTTCCCGTCAATTCAGGATTTGCCCCGGCGTTGGTTGACTCGTAGCCCAATCTAGTCGACCAGGCTCTCCCCTCCATGGATCCATTAGCACGGTGTACATCCCCTACCTGCAATTTTCCCGCGCTTGCAGCTCGCGAAAAATGCTGCACACTTGAAGACTTCAAGGGTCATGTCAAAAATAAACCGGGCGGTTACAATATCTGGCAACTGCGAAAATGCATCGAGTATTATGTCACTCACCCTAGTTGCGCTTTTTTTCTTGCCCTCTACCCACCCTGTTGTGTGGTTGAGGTTCGCATAAAGCAGGTAGAGATGCCTTAGGCCTCGAGCTTCCATGTGCAAGAGCCGTCAATTCAAGCCTGGCTCTTCTCTCAACTTCTCCATGGAACCCTCAAGCCTTGCCTTCCATTGCATTCCTCCTCCTTGTTCCACCATCTTCTGATGGAATCCCTCAACAAACAGCGGCCTCCCCGAGTGCAAGCATGGACCTACCGCCCCGTCCACTTCGGCTTTCTACCGCGCATGGTTCAGCGCCTTTCAGCCGCCCCCTGGCCGATGGCTGATAGCTGGTGGGACCGGCTTTATCCACCACATCCTGCCATTCCCAATCGTTCCTCCGCCACGTTGCCACGGCACTTCTATTCTAGTGGTCCCTTGTCCGCCATGGATGGATATCGATGCCCAGCCGCTGATGCTCCTCGCCAACCGACACAAAGAAATGCTACACACACACACCTTGACCGTCCTGCAAGGTCAAGGTCCGGACGCGGCGCAAAGAGAGGTGCAGGCCAGACGAACTCAGCCAAATCGAATACAAGCAGCTTCTCGAGAATTGACAGCTTCAGACACTCGCTAACGACTGCATTTGTTCACTGCTGACGCTGGAGCACGCACTCCATGTCAAGAGTCCATATCGCGGGGCCCCGGAATCCCCAGGTTCATGCCCCGGCAGCTCACCGACAGTTGCATGTCGCACATACCAACCCCAGATAACAGTGATGGTCCCGAATGAGTCTCCGCCGAGAAGTTCGACCAAACCGCTTCAGGCCTGTGCTAATACAATCTTTCAGTGTTGTCTTATTCCTGGCCCATGCTTCAGCCATGAGCAGTCACCATGGTCAATGCATGCTATAGCTGACGTAGTACGTCTGCCAGTCCTGTTGGGATATCTTGGTAGAGCAGTGCGTGGCCTTGACATGCCTTTCATAGCAAGTGCTAGCTCCAAGGTTTCCCTCTCTTTAAGAATACATATGCCCCGGGTGATCAGAATCATGACCCAGTTGCCATCTTCAGATCCATGAGCAGCCGTTTTGGTAGCTGCGAGATGCCTACCCAGTCAGGAACCTCCACCAACACCGTCCTTTGAAAGTCTGTCAAAAAAAGCCCAACCCGTTTCACTACCTCTTTGTCTCTTGAACTTGCCGCTCTCCTGTCTATTCCAGTTGATTGACAGCACAGAGTGCTACATCCAGCCAAGAAAAACTTAGCTCTTTGTTCTCTTTTATCCCTTGCACAAGGGTGTCGCTGCACCTGGGGTCGCGCTCATAAACGTTCCATGAGTAAACAAGTTATGATAAGACCCCATGACCACTGATTTCTTTGTTCGCCCATTCAGCCATGGAAGGGTGGAGCAGAACGGCTGCGCCAGACATCAGAACTGTCCAGTTTGCTACGACGGTGTGTCTAATGAGCAAATCTACCCGCCAATACCCCTGGGTACAGGGAAGATTTTTGTATTTGGGGAGTGTCAATAGAATGGCTGAGCATTCAAGGCCAATATGAGTGCCTTGCCAAGTGCTCGAGGCAGACAAGAAGAAATATATCAGCTTCCCTCCGCTTTTGCAACCCCTCAACGGTTTACCTACTCAAGCTCAGAGCCCTGCTATTTCCTCCTGTATCTATTCCACCTCAGGGACCCATGGCTTCAAACCCTACTGGTCCAGGTGCAACACCACCTGGAGCGCTACCCGCCGCTTCCACTGTTCCAAATACGACATGGAATAGCAATGCACATTTACCAAGCCCTGCAGCTGTCAACGCCCGGAATCCTAACACTCCATCCAAGGCCATTGGGAACGCCTGGGATCACGTCCTATACGTCCCTCCATGGATGGATCCTGACTGGCAAGATGAGGGCCGACAGCGAGATCAGACAGACTTCAACATCACTGATTTCTTTGATCGAATACGCCCTGCTGTCCATCCCAAGGACCAATACAAAAAGCCAACAGAATACGCCCAGCGGTTCAGCATTTTTCCCGGTCGATTTGATGGCCGTTCGAGGGCATCGCCGACTCGAGCCAACAGCAGGAAACTGATCCACACTACTGCGGATATCAAGACAGGGAAAGACTTGTTTGATAGTCTTGACTACTCGGCAGCACAGGACGGTAAGACCATCGATGAGTACATGGCCAGCGCAAGGCCAGATATGCAACATGGGACCGAAACGGAGCAGCTGTGCATGCAGCAGTATGAGGACTTGGTTATTGATGAGAATTGGCAATCCATTCTTTTCGGAAACCTGACCATGGACGAGGCAAGCGCCTGATGCTACCCGTCTCTCTTGTGCTTGTGCTTGTCTAACGTCGCATTTAGGTCCGCGCTGAGGATTATTTCACAATGCAGGATGTATCTTTCGAAGGCCTCTCTGGACCAATCCACCCGTAAGACCCTTCTTGCTTGCCCCCTTCTGACCACTTGCTGAGGTCTATCAAGCCTGTTCGATCGACACATGTGGGCGGACACGACCGAGTTTGGGAAAGAACCGGAGACACCACGATATGTGTATAACCTCAATGGCGTGCGCGAGGAATGGGATCCAAGGGTGAGCGTCTGCTCAGTCGATGCATGTCTGGCGCTAACAAGCTCAAGACAAACGACCGGTTATGGAATGCGATGCAGCCGGCTCTTCAACTTGCTACGCGTATGCTTCTTACCAATCACCCCTGCATCGTTGGCATGCAGGATGTCACGAACCGGTACAGAGTTCCTGATCACCTCTACAAGAATCGGAAAGGTCAGGATCCCGACGAAGTTAAATACAAGATCAAATCAGACCAGCAACCCCTCGACCCGGAACACGTCAGGGGTGCCCAGCAACTGCAGAGCTGTCCTGGGTTTTCGGCCCCAGCCGCAAGCCAGCGAACTCTTGAGAGAGTTATGGATCTGAAGCTCCAGAGCGCGTTTTACTCGAGTGGCGGCAAGTACAAGGATCACTGCATCGCCCGCACATTCATGAATGGGGTTTCACACCGAGAGGGCACTATCAAGGTCACGATCGATGCCGAGTTGCTTTGGATAGTCATGTCGGACAAATATAGCAAAAGCGAGAAGATGGTGGCCAGTCTTGTGTTTGCTGCTGCGCTGGTTCATGAGATGATGGTGAGTACAGCCCCCGAAGATACAAGAGACGCCACTAACAAAGCAACCATTGCAGCATGCATTTGTGTCCGTTGCCGCGAAATGGGTGCTCAACCCTCAGGAATTTGGAATTACGGATCCTGCTGAGGTCCAAGCCTGCGGTGATTTATGGGATGAGCTCTGCCCAGACGACAAATGGCCGGACGAACCCTACTATAACGACGACCCATGGAATGAAGCTGGCCATGCCTTCGAGCAGCATGTAAGTGACTGTCTTTGGCCAGAAACTTGAGTCTCGATCCTGACAGTGGGCGTGGAACAGGTGCTGGGTGGTGCCTATTGGCCGTTCATCAACACCAATCAGGGCTATGTGTGGCCTCGACTGCTCCAGAGTTCTGCACCCATGATAGCAAAGTGTATGTTCCCTGCGGGTGCGTACAATTCTCCGCCTCACCTAACAGCTCCCCATATGCGTATGGAGCAGCTCAGCCATTTTACGCGCATCGATGATGTCCGACCGTTCTTCCATCAAGGCTTCTGGGACGTCTCCGTCAAGAAGTACGGTACAGCAGCCTTGAGAGAACCGTCTGACAGACTTCACAAGATCAACTACAACCCGGCCTCAGTCTCTATGACACGTAGCATGTGGAAGATGGCCAACCTAGGGACTCGTGAAGACAGGGATTGGGTGCTCTACGATTTTCTCAACTGGCTTCATGAGAAGGGCAAATCTGTCCTGTTTGCATATTTTACAGCCCTTGTCCAAGACGCCATCGAGTTTGGCTCTCTTCTTTGGAGATTGCAACAAGAAAGCCAAGGATGGAGCGAGCGCGATGCCAAATGGGCAGGGCTTCATGGGGAAGCAATGATGCTGATTTACGAGTACGCCGGCTACACCATAATGGCCAACGCTGGGAGGAACGCGACATCCAACCTTCCAGCAGACAAGATTGCTGAGCTGAAGGACCTGTATGATGAATGGGATAAGGTGAGGCGGCGCATTGGCAGGTGTCCCGATGACGAGTCTACCATCTGCGCAGGCATGGGCCCCGAATTCTGGCGCATCCAGATGCTGGCCACAAGCAGAGATCGCTACGAGGCACGTCTGGTGTCTAAGCTCATCGACTTGACTCGCGATCTAATGGATGAATGCGCGTGGTTAGAAAATGTGGTGTGCGAATTCTATCAACTCCCTCTCTCATATTGGACAGCCTACAGGCAAAAATTCCCCAATCAAGCCGGACAGATAGCGACCCGAGCAAAAAGGATTGGGTCTGCTTTAGCGGACCTGCTTACGGTAATGGGACTCGCCGAATTCGATATGCCATCGTGGAACAGAGATTGGGACGGTCGGATCCTTTCGCTTGGAGCGAGATTCGTGACCGTCGCAGGGCTGATGGTCTTGAACCCGCTCAAGTATGAGAAGAACTGGCGTGGCCTGTTGCCTTCTATGCCTAATTTGCGCAAAACTAGTCAGAAGCGACATCAGGTGTGGTACTTTCTGGCGAAGAAGGAGATGCTGAGCATGGAGGGCGAAGTTCTCGACAAGGTGCGCGAGTTTAAGAATCGGTACCAAAACCTGTTGCACTTGGGAGGTTCCAAGGTCATACTCCCTGAGTATGACCCGGATGAGATCGCATTGGCACAGAGATGGGCTGGGACACTTGATGATGAGGATGGCAATACCGGACAGGGAAACCCCCTTGCCAGGCCTTCCACGGGTGTCTTTGACACCCAAGGGGTCCATGACCTGGTCCGTCGTCTTCAGGAACAGGCCCAGCAGGCTGAAGATGACAAGCTTAAACGCGCAGCGGCCAGTGGCCAGCCTCCAACCCTTCAGCAAAATGCAGCATCTCAGGCTACGCAGGCACCCATCATCTCGCCCAAGATACAGCACATGGGGATGGGGATCCAGACGGCACCGTTTGGCAACCTACAACCGCCACCCAATAGTGCGTTTGCTCCCTACCATTCTTCATCAGCGGGCTCTGCTTTCCCTTCGCACACGCCTGGTGCTCCATCTGCTTGGGCAGCAGGCAACTCGACCACCCTAGCACAGCAAGTCAACAAGCCTCTTGGTGCTCCACGGACTCTGGGGGGTGTTCGCAAGACGTCTATCGCAGGGTACGGCATCCTACCACATCCGTATGCTGTCCGAGAGACGGTCACAAGCGATCTCACCAATACAGCGCAGACGACTCTTCTGAACAACGATCCCAGCACTTTTGCTCAACATGCTCCCCGACAAGGCGATGCGCCTCGGCAGGGTCGGCAGGGAGCTGGGCCTCTGGGCGACATGGACCAGATGTGGGAACAGCAGAAGGTTGTGCCCAACACAGGTAACCAGGATGAGGACGGTGATGTAGAGATGGCAGACGCCAACCTTGCAGGCGCATTTGTTATTGAGGTCAGCAGCGACGACTTGAGTTCGTCAGCTGGCGATGACGACGACAGGTCGGAGCGGGAGGACAGTGAGTCGACAAGCGTCGAGTCTTGGAGTGAAGATGAGTTCAAGCCCGGTGCAAAGTCGAGGGCTCGACAGGGTTTAAAGCCACGGCTAGGGTTTAAGCGCAAGGCCCCATGGATGGTTCCCAATCCGAGGCAGGCCTGGCTGACTCAAGGAGGAAGCCAGAGGAAGAGGAGGAGACTCTGAGACTCTGACCAGTATATCTTGGGTCAGGACTTGACAGAGATATGAAGCTAGAGATAGCTAGATGATGGGCGGGTTGCTTAGGAGGATGCTTGACGGTTGTTCTTGTCCTTGGTAGCTCCGAGTTACTGATTAGTCGCGTGATTCTCCCAGTTTTAGTTTCTGCTTCTGAATACAACGGACTCTTCTCTCTTGCTATGTGAATGACATAAATCCAAGAGGAAGAGGGGCCTTCTGGCCTTACAGTGATGGCTTGTATTGTTGTCCCACCCAACGAGGGACGTCCAGATCTCGGTGAAGGTCGGGAGACCCACATAGATTAGCCCCCGCCCGGCCCGTGCTCACCGAACTTCCGAATGAGGAACGACGCGGGGCAGCTGAGGAAGGTTCAATGTCAATCGACAGGTACGTACCGTACCAAAAGCTTCCCAACCATCATTGTCACGTTTTCCGAATCACGACAAACAAAGAAGAGGGAACAATTCATCCAAGGTCGAAAGAAGAGACTTTACTTCGTAGAGCAGCCCATTACGCTCAAGTTTCCTTGCCCGCATTCGTCTACCTCGCTTGATCAGTTAAACAGAAGCAACAGCAACTTGTGTGTTGGTTTGCATCCCCATTGCTTCTCTCAAGTTGGGCATCTCATCACTAATAAAGGTGTACAGAACGAAGCTACCCAAGCAAGGGATAAGAAACACTCAAAGAAAAAACTCTTGACGTTAATCAGTCTTTCCCGTTTGGAAAACAGCCCCCAAGGTTTTCTTCTCCCTCGAGCATAAAGAGAAGCCTCTCCCTCTTTCATCTCACGCTGCAACACATTACATGTTGGCAACCAAAATCCTCAAAATGGCTACCAAATCCATCGGCGACATCCCCATCCTCACGCAGCTCTACGCTGACTCGACATCGCTCCTCTCCATCGCGACTGTCGAGTCGACCCAGGAGCCCGCCTTTTCAGCCAGCGACGACATCAACCGCCGCATCGGCTACATGCGCGGCGACATCACCCGGCTGCGCCTCGACGCCATCGTCAACGCCGCGAACCGCCTTCTCCAGGGCGGAGGCGGCGTCGACGGCGCCATCAACGCCGCCGCAGGTCCGGAGCTTGTTCGCGAGAGCGCGCCACTCGGGCCCATCGAGACGGGCGAGGCCGTCATCACAAAGGGTTACAACCTCCCCGCGCAGCACGTCATCCATACCGTGGGGCCCATCTACCGGGAGGTCAGGAACCCGGAAGAGAGCCTTGCCAGCTGCTACCGTGAGAGCCTCAAGCTCGCCGTCCAGAACGGTCTCCGCACCGTCGCCTTCAGCGCCATCAGTACAGGCATCTACGGTTTCCCCAGCCAGCGGGCTGCCTATGTCGCCTGCAAGACTGTGAGGGAGTTTATGGAGACAGAGGATGGGAACAATCTCCTCAGGGTTGTGTTTGTCACTTTCCTCCCCAAGGATGTGGATGCGTACAACAATGCACTACCGTAAGTTGATATTCCTATATTTAAACAAAAACCATAGCTAACTAGATGAAACAGGCGATATTTCCCCCCCACCGCTAGCGAGGAATCGTAAGGAGATAACCTAATGTGTTTGACATCAGGAGGAGAATGGACATTATGCTGAGGAGGGGTATGTGGTGTAGTACGTAGTATCATGGATTAGCCTGATCATGACAGTTGACCTCCTCTATCCAATTGTCGTCAAGAATATATATTCAACCAGAGGCGCCTTTTCTAGTAACAGATGTTTTCTGCTATAAACCTTCATTGTATGCATATTACAAACATCACCACGATTCGTCTTAAAGGCCCTTCCCGCATCAATCAATTAGACAATCATCTCGCTCTCGACACTCAATTCAACGCGTTACAAGATCCGTACAAACACTCGTAGCATATTCAATCAGACATGAAGCAATCCCATCATCGCAAGGTATACATAAACCAGATCAGAGAGCCAACCAAACACAGACCATTCCAGCAAACCAGTTGCTCACGCGAGAATATATCCGCATCGTTTGCACTTCATCAACCCTTCCGTGGCCACCTCCCCTAAGAGCTAGGTCCACCAGAGCTGGGTCCTGCTCCTCCAGGGCCCTTCTTCTTGTTCTTCTTCTTATTCTTCTTCCCACCCTTGTTGTCACCAGATGCCGCCGACGTCTCGGGGGTGTCTTGGGCCTCTGCCGCATCACCCTGTTCAGGCTCATCAGGATGTTGGGCCACATCAGGGGTTTCGGGAACCTCCGAAGTCTCCAGAGTTTCGTCGCGAGTTTCGTCGCCCTCTGTCTCTGTCTCTGGCGCCTTTCCGCTCTTCACTTCTTCGACCGGCTGATCTTCTTTCCCCTTGATAGCACTGCCAAGATTTGAGAGCATCTGCTTAAGCTCATCAACTTCAGCCCGCAGTTTGCGCACTTCGATAACGGCTGGCTCCTCCTCCACGTTTGGCTTGACCGCATCGCATGTCTTTGTCCAGCCCTCTGCCTCAAAGTCGATCTCCTCGTGGAACTGTTCCCACTCATGCACCTGGTCATCGTCCTCCTCGCCTCGTGCTCGGTTGTGGCGGATCGTATGCGCCGTGCGTGTCTCGAGCCATGCAGCCACGAACAGGAGAGGAGAGTATAGAGCGGCCATGACACAGTCGTTGATGAACTCGTAAGTTGCCCTGGGCATCCACCATTCGAACAGACCAGAGATGATAATTTCAACCAGGTTAAAAGGGGCAATATAGACGTTCTCGTCAGGGGCTCGCACAAACTGCATCGTCTTCTGAGCAAACAGTGCCAGATATTCATCGTCAGCATTCTCATAGATGTCCTCATAGGCCGAGTTGTAAAGGGCAATGAGGATGTTGAGGAGAATAATCTAGAGTTCCAAATCAGCTTTGCATGCAACACATCGGGTCAATATATGAGCTCACCATGACAATAAAGGTAAAGCAGTAGTAGAGAACCAATCCAAACGAATATGGGTGTCCAAAATTCTCGAATCCGTCAAATTCGGGGCTCTGCATGATGGCCTTGAGCATAGCCTCAATAATGAACCACGAGTCGCCTGCAACATTGTCTTCAGCGACATCTAGACCAATAAAGGCCTGAAGGAAGCCAATGATGATGATGATGAGCAGAGCAAAGAAGATGACTGATTCTTTCATCATGACCTTGAGAACAACCAGCATGGCGCCAAAGAAGCGGAAGCTGTCGCAGTAAAGCAGAAGACGGCCCCAGAACATAGGCGCAACAAATGCCAACAGATAGTAGCTCAGTCGGTTGTACTCCGCATGGCGTTTGTCGTCACTCCAGTACGATAGTCCGATGATGCGGAAGACAAGAGATACGGTCAAGAAGGTATACAAGATGAAGTTGAAGACATTCCAGAAACCCAGGATGTGGTAGCCCGCCTTGTAGTATTTGACAAGCTCGTCAGCAACATAGGCAAAGGTAAAGACGTAGAGCACGATTTCGGCTGCATCCAGTACGCCTGTCGCGTTAATCGAGTTGATGGCGATTGTGTAGAGTCCAAGGTAGATGAATGAAAACATAAGCTGGGCGGCATTCTGGTAGCGCGGCGCTCGCATGCGGTCGGGATCCATGTGTACGATGAAATTGACGTTGTCTTTGTCCTTGTAGTCGACAAACTTGGACGGATCGTTCTCGTCCTGTACCAACCAGCCGCGCCATAGGTAGGCAATGCACTTCTGATAGCCAGATGAGCCAATGACCCGGACGGCATGTAGATCGACTGCCTTCTCAATGACGTTGGTTGGGGCAGTGGGTTCTTGGTTGATGAGGAATGAATACCGTCGAAGCAGAACGTGGTGCAGGAGGTACTCGGCATCGTCCTCGTTTTCAATGCTGGAGGCAATAGTCAGTATCTGATGGGTGAAGGAGTACGGCGAGCATACATCTGCTTAGCAATGACAGTACAAGCAACTGCACGAAGATCATGGAGGTCAGCATCCCATAGCTCGACAATCCCCTCCCGCTGGAACCATCGCATGTTGACCAGCAGAGCGTAGACCTAATGGCAGAAGCGAACGACGTCAGTTAAGAATCCGGGTCCAGCAGATCGATATCCAACATACCACACATGATCCGTATCGCTCGCCGCCAGCTTCCTTTGCAGCCTGGATAACCTTGTTGGTGATGATGGTGCTGTGGGAACGAGTAATTTGGCTCTCTTCAAGCTCGCACGGAATGCATTCGCGAATCAGGTGTCGCAATCGGAGGCAGACCTTTGTGACCTCTTGGGGCGGAATGGCAGACTCGATGTTCTGGTTCCTGTGATGAGGAAGGACTGGCGATCATTGTGTTAGCTCAATGGCCGTGGGCAGAAGAGAATGGGAAGAAACGTACGCGCTCGCTCCTCCTCGTGAAGCCAGGCATGACGGCTGTTGGTGCCGTTGGTGCCGTTCAGGGAAAAGTAACCCTTGAATCGCCTCCAGTTGCTAGGCATGATTTATGGCTAGCTCGCGGCTTCGATGGTGCTTCAAGCGCGTCGTTCGTCTTGCTCAATTCCACAGCACTTGAACGGAACGGCGAGTGAAGACAATAAAGTATGGTACGAGTTCGCGACGGGAGGCTGCGTGCGGTGGGGTTGGTGTTTAGTGTGGACTCGCAAGCTGCCGCGTTACGCCCAAGTCAGGCGATGATGGCGTGCCGCAAAGAGATCCAAGTCGAGTCCAGGGTCACGGTCAAGATCCAGGTCCAGAGACAATGGCTCAAACGTTGTCAGAGGCAATGATACCGGGCCGATGGTGTCTCAGATAGATCTTTGTATGGCGATTGACGGCTGGCTGCAGCGTGCAAGAGTCAATCCCAATGCCCCTCTGGACTTGACGGTGACGACGAGGATGATGAGGTCAAGATTGGGTCGCCATGAGGAGGACGGCAGCTGAAAAAAACAAGCTTCAGCTCGGCAGGTCCGTGTCCAAGCGATTTAGGTTACCAGTTCCTTCCCCTCCCGCGCCTTCCTTCAAAGTAGCAAGGTTCTTCCACCTGAATCAACTGAACCAAGTTGACAGGAAGGAGCTACCTCGGTCGACTAACGAGCTGGCGATGACGTCGCGAAGGCTGGCGATTGGCTCAACCCCAGCCACCTGCTGGTCTGTGCTTTTGCTATCATGAGCTGCAGTTTGCGTCGCTTGCAGCAGCGCGGGGTGCGGTGGAAAATGGTCTCAGACCTTGTTCTGAGGCTCGTAACCATGCAATTTATTAATCAGTTCATGCTAATGAATATCATGATACTGAAACGAGCCTTTCCACGAATTATTTATTGTCTGGCCTGGGCCCTTACTCCCGAGCTTGATACGTGCAACAATGAGCAAGACCTCTAACACCCATCCCAAGATCATCCAAGCATGCATGGATGTTATTGCTACCCTGCAAGCAAGGGCTATGCCGGGTCTCGACCAGGTTTTTTCTTGTTTTGCATGCGCATCTCCTCCAGAATCTTGGAGATTGGAAAATTCACGATCCAATGACTTGATCTGAATGCCATTTCTTATGCATCTATGTCGCTAAACCTCTGGCAAGCGAGCGTGGAGGAGCGTGTATCCCAGTCCTTCGGTTCCCTGCTGGCCAGCCATCCATCCATAAAAAATCTGATGCGTTAGTGCGCCTCGTCATCAAGACACCAAGATCCAACTCATGATGAGCCCAGCGGGATATTATTAAGGGTTTCCCTCAACTTCATCAACTATGTTGATGCAATTGCAATACTCACGTCAGCAGTAAGAGTCTCGAATCCAAGCCTAAATATTTTTGGCTGGAATGTATCCTTTACTGCTCGCATTCGTTGGATTGATGGCTACCTACCCTGCAAGCTCTTTGAGACTTTGAAGCGTATCGTAGGTAGGTTGTAAGATCTACTATTACCCAGCAAATATTTGTGTAGCTTATCTTAACTACAAGGATCCTTCCAAGCTGTGGGCACCCTTCACGAACCACCGACATCGGCGCCAATTCCATGCTGTGTTCTTGAGTCTGGGGGATTATCAAGCAGTGCAAGTCACCGTGAGCGCGAACATGTTTGGAGTGCCTAGGCCTTCTAAGCGTCTTTAGACCCGTTTGACTGACTACGCCGGCAGAAGCAAAACTCACCACATACAAACCATCAAACGGATAGGATGCCGCATCTGCACGGGATTTGTGGCACCGGTTGGTGTTTGTCCGGCTGCTGCTCGCCGGCATCCCATCCATGTAGCGCCAACACATCACCTGGCAGATGAATGGTCTCGCCCTTGGCAGTTTCTTTTGCGGCCTGTTGATTCGCGGGCTAGGTTGCAGCAGCAAGAGGGCGGCTTAGACACACACAAACACAGCATGACAAGTTGTCGCAGTACGTGGTCTTGCTCACCGGGGTCGCTCTGGTGTCTCCATCTCGCATTCCGACATCCATCGCACGAATACGAACGGAGTAAGCGGACGGAGGCCACGTCTCTTGCCATCCGGTCGCACCCAACATGGCAGGTAGCCGTATGGGCAGATTTTCTTTGTTCTGGCTGGGCTCAGAGCCTCAATCGTTTGCTAAAGGGTCCAGCGTGGGGCCTTGTGAGATGCACCATCCTGACTGCAGGCAGAAGTGCGGTTGTTGATGGCCTGAAAGCTCAAGACGGACCTTTGATGAGGGGCGTGATTGGTTGAGCAGAGGAATGAGGCGGATGATGTTTGATGTGTTGGACACTGTGGACCTGTGGACGTCTCGTGCCGCCAACCTTTGAGGATCCCATCTATCCCGTCTTGGAGGAGGAGAATATGAGATTGAGGTGCGTTGCATGGGCCAGACGCCTCGCATGTTCTGACAAGTTCTGCCTTGTGAATTTATAGAAGATGGAGAGATCGTAGAGGCACGACAGGAGTAGGCAATGGCGAGCTGTCCGTGCGAATAGGTAGTTGCCCATGACTAGAATCGTTGATGCAAGACATCCAATCTCTATCCCCATGGTTCTACTGGTCTTCCAAGCCTGATGGAGTTGTAGGTCACTTGGTCCCCCGGACCCGCTGCATTTTGGCGCCTCCTTCCCGCCCGGCAAAGATGGAGAGGGGCCGCTAAGGAAATGGAACTGGACGGGATGAATCCATCCACCAACGGAAGGGTCCAACATGGAAGGAACCTCTCGGTGATCAACTGTACCATCTTCTTTCATCACCAGCGGCCTCACTCAACATTGCCCAGCAGAGCCCCACGATAGGCATCCATTCTGGGCATCATCATCGTCGTCACGCCTCTTCTGCCCATTCGCCAGTCCCTCAATGTGATATCTCACTTGTCTCTCCACACCGGGCAAACTGACCTTATTCCAGATGCAGCCTGCCTGGATCAACGGATGGATGATTGGATTGGATGCTGTGCAACATAGGTTCCATATCATCAAGCATGTCTGGCCCAATCACTCGGCCATCATCCACTCATGCAAACGCCGGTTTGCTTGGTGGCTGTCTGGTCTGCCTGTGTCGTGCCGTCCCAACGTCTTGAGTGGCTCCCGCCTCCATCTTGTTGGTTTGCCTTTTCTTCATCACTGATGCCATCTGCCGGCTGCAACGCGGGCAGCCACTGCCTTGAGGTGTTTGTTGCCTCCTTTTTCCTTTTGCAAACTCTTCCAGGCCTTCTCTGGTGCTCTCGTCTTGACTCCTCTAGTTCATCTTCATCACCACAGTCTTAAAACCATTCAAGCCCAGTTGCACGGAATTTTGCATCCTCTTATTCCCCCCACTGACAGGTTGCCACTATTGAGTAGCTCCTAATCTCAAGACTTATCAAGCAGAACTCATCGTTCTGGCCGTCAAGACCAGTTACAGCCTCTTTTGTGCTGTCCTTCTCTTGGAAAACAAGAAAACCCGTCTTTTGATTCGTCGCCGAGCACACATCAGTGCCGTGCATCCTTCTGCGCAACGACTGGTGTCTTGACTCAGTTGGACACATTCCACACCAGGTTCGTGGCTATCTCTGTTTTCTGGAAGAATAACTTGATTGACACAGGCAAAAACAGCTGGGACTCAAATCATTGTTAGGGTGGACTGATACAAGCCACTGTAGCTGTGCAATTTGAGCGGACCAGACCCTCCTGCACTCCCTGCCTGGTTGCCTTGTGATTCAGTGACAACTACCAACACAACGAACTACATTCACCTCGCGCAATTCCCTGCGGTTAGCACCTTTTTATCAGGCAGTCAGTTGTCGCTTCTCTGACACCCCGAGAGTAAACTATTACTCACTACTCTCACGATGGAGGAGACTGAAGTGACGATTGTCCCTGAAGGGACCACCCAGAAGGAGTCAACTGTGCAAAACACAACTCAAGGAGATCAACAAACTGCTGAAGTGACGTCCCCAAAGTCGGCTGAGCGATCTACCAAGAGCACTTCATCCTCTAAGCATCAACGAAAGAAGAAGACAACCTCGGGGAGTGCCAAATCTGCTTCGAACGAAGAAGAACAAGACACTTCCGACGGCTCCGAGGCTGATACTGAGCCTGATTCAGATGACGATGCCAACGCCACCCAGACCGCTGACAAGTCTTGCAAGAAGCCTGTTGGCAGTAAGAAGGGCAAAGACAAGGGTCAAAGCAAGAAGAACGAGTCCGGGAAGAAGCTATCCTCGAACAAGAAAAAGTCTTCCAAACAATCGACCAAGAAGTCAAGCAAGCAGAAGAAGAAGAAAAGGGCCAAAGACGACCTTTCTGATTGCGGCACCGACTCGTCAGACCCTTCAGACAGCGACGAGGAGAGCGACCAAGAAGTTGCCTCGGGATCGAAGAAACCAGGCCTCAAGAGCCAATTCAAGGCTCTCAAGCTTCAGGTATCCCAACTGCAGCAGCAACTTTCCAACCCGGCCCCTGTACCTGCTTTCAGCGCCCCTGGATACCCCCTTCCGTATCAGTACTCCCACAGTGCAGTCGTTCCTCAAACGAACACATCTATTTCACAGCCTGTCGGACAACGGAGCCGCTATGGCTTGAGGGAGAGCCGCGCGGCATACAAAACCCCTGGAAGCTCGCTGAAGGAACATCTCAAGGAACTTGGTCTAGGAGGGGACTCAAGCGATGAATCAGATCAAGCTGCGGAGTCTAAGAAGAAAACCAAGCGTCCAGCCTTCAAGCGTGTTGACCAGGTTTGGGATAGCAAGATTCACAACTACAAACTGCAAGATACAGCCGATGTCGACAGCGAATCGCAGTACGAGGACTTTATCTTTCATGTCCGCCGAACCTTTGATTGGGAAGGCAAGTACCGTACCACGTACGTTGACATCAGGAGCAAGCTCCTTCGCGAATGTTTACAGGATGTCATCGGAAACACCGACGGGGTTAGTCTGGTTGATGAGGTGCCCAAGCTGAACCCTCACCTACTATTCCTGTGAGCTTCTCCCAGTCTTGTTCTTCTCTAACCATGCTAATTCCAAACTCAGGTATCTGGAGGATCTCCGAGCTCACCTTAGGGCGCTCAAGCAAGCCAAACCAGCTGGGGAGACCAAGAAGGCGAGAAAGAAGAACCAGGTCCGGCTTGACGACAAGAGAAAGCATCTCAAGGTGATGATCAAGTACATTGACAAAGACTACGAAACCACGAAAGAAAGTCTATACCCCATGCTGGAGAATGGACTCATCACCTTCGACCTGATGTGGGCTCTCTGGAAACCGAACACGCTGGCTTACACGACAACTTACGGATGCACCAGCGAGCCCCGAGTATTCAAGGTAGATATGGCGACTCCTCAATCATCAATTGTCAAGGGCCGGTTCTACTACATCGATGGCAAGTACGTGGAGTTTGACGGGAAGCGGTTCGGGTATGGCGGCATGGCAGTGGATGTGGACGAGTTCCAAGGCGCTCGCAGGATCACCAGCCTGCCCTGCTACCCCCTTCAGTACCACCCGAACGAGAGCAAGCTCCGCGCCGATTTGATCGAACGAGGCAAGAAGTTTGTCAAGCTCAGCGGCGTCCATTACAAGAGCTATCAGGGCATCGCTTTCATGAAGCGCAAGAAAAACCTCGTCATCAAGTTCAACATCCAGCCAAGCCGTGTCATGATTGATCCATCCACTTTTCGAAGGATCAACCCCAATTACAGTGTGTCGTCGGTCAAACCAAAGGACCCCGACATTCTCTCGGATAGTTCAGACTCGGAGTCGGAGGACTGCTGTGACTGCCAAGATTCGGACTCGGACGGGGTAGAAAAGGTCAAGTATGTCACCAAAGTGTTCAAAGATGGCAATGGCGAAGTACAGAGAGCGAGAATACCGAAGGATCTCTTCGGGAGCGAACCAGACCAAGAAGAACTCGACAAAATACCCCCCAAGAGCGGAGAGGATGACGAAGAGGCAGAGACGTTTGAGTTTACCGACGAGGAATATCTCATCGCATCGCCCGTGTTCCTTGGGTTCTCCTTTTCGGAGAAGCATTGGCTGGAGCTGAGCGTTTCTGGCATCGGCGAGATCAAGTGGAACGACAAGGCCTGGGATTCGCTCGTCCTTGAGCCTCAGACCAAGGACTTGATCAAAGCTCTTGTCAAATCACGCAAGTACCACGCAGCAAACACGATTGACGATGTGATTCAGGGCAAAGGAAAGGGCCTTGTCAGTAAGTAAAACCCTTGAGATGTGCCACAGGCGATGGTGACTAACACATGACGATAGCGGTCCTGCATGGACCCCCGGGAACAGGCAAGACACTTACCGCCGAGGGCATCAGTGAGTTGCTCAAGTGCCCTCTGTATATGGCCTCGGCGGGAGAGCTTGGGACAGATTCTCGATACCTCGAGGCAGAGTTGCAGAAAATCTTGGACACTTGCCATGCCTGGGGAGCCATTCTTCTCCTGGACGAAGCGGACGTCTTCCTGGAGAAACGCAACATGCACGACATTCAACGGAACGCCCTAGTGAGCATCTTTCTCCGGCAGCTGGAATATTTCCAGGGAATTCTGTTCCTTACTACCAACCGCGTTGAGGTATGTCTCGGAAGCGAGTCAGACGCCATGAGTTGTATAGGCTGACAGGTCTGCAGACTTTTGATGAAGCGTTCCAGTCGCGGATCCACATTGCCCTCCGATACGATGCCCTCGATGCCAAGGCGAAGCGAACCATCTTCCAGATGTTCCTCGACAGGGTGCGTGATCTGGGCAAGCTCAAGGTAGAGCCGCTGAAGGAGGATGACTGGACGTATCTCTCGAAGCAAGAGTTGAACGGACGAGAGATCAAGAATGTGATAAGCTCAGCTCAAGATCTTGCCGTTAACAAGGGTGAGGCACTGAGCATGCGTCACATCAAGCAAGTGCTTAACGTGCATGCCAATTTTGGGCGGGATCTCAGAGGCGGCACTGGCTACGAAGACGCCATGAGAAGCTACTTTTAGATCGTGTCCGGGAAAGGCTGAGGTTGAGTAAGACAACTAGTTGGTGGCTGGAGGTAGTTTGGAGGCATGGCGAGACTGGGCTGGATGATTCAAGCATAGAGGGGTTGGGACATGAAAACGGCGAGTGCTTGCAAAGGATCCACGGCCGCAGAATGAAGTTGCAGAGACGGCTGGATGATGTGAGCGATGATCAGCGGGTTGAAGTTGGCTGAATTGCAGATACATCCAGATAGTCGACAGTCAATAAAGCAGCGAAATACACATAGTCTCCTTTCTCATCTAGGATTGATGCGATGCGGCATTGGATGTCATGCCCCCCTTTCTCTTTTCAGGGAGTGCATTAAGCGTTGTCATTGCTCAATCTCGCTCGGGGACGATTCCAAGGTTATCTGCATGGCAGCCTTGGTGGACAGGCTCGGGATCCCTAGAAGGTTACATTACATGGACTTGATATGAATTATGGACGGACATGGATGAGACCCGTGGCACGTGCCAGGAATAGCAACCTGGGAGGCAACATAGCGGAGAAGCTGGTGCGCACGTACCCGACGTACCCGGGAAGGATCAGAGAAGGGCTGAAGGATGGATGGTACTGGAAATAGACTGAGGCCCATCAGGTGAGGATGGTCTTTGTTCTGGACTGAGAGGCTTGTCTTTGTTTGCAGTTGTTTGAGGTGAAGCAGAAACAGATGACGAGAGTTGTGGAAGAGGATAAGAGGTTAGGAATGCTGAGAGAGAGGGAGTGTCAGGATCAAAGGGTTGTATGTAGCGGCAGTGCCCCTCTTATCATTTGGCCAAGATCAAGTGCTAGCTGAGCGATAATTTCGTAGGTTATACGACGGAGCGTATAACACAACACAGTACTGAGCATACAGACATCGATACTATGTAGTAGGGGGTTGGTTCCCTCTGTCAAGGTTGATGAGTAGCTGTCAATGGGTCCCTGGTTGTTGTTTAGACGATTTCCTAAAGAAGCAACTGGGGAAAAGGGAGACGAGGGACAAGATTCAGAAGCAGCAAAGCACAGAGCAAGAAGAGACCTGAAAGAGGCTGAGGATACAAGGAACCCTTTGTCTTGTTTGTTTCAGGTCTTTCCGGGTTCCCTGTAGTTGGTCAACAAAGCAACAACAGGCCACGACCAAAAGGTCCCCTTGTCATGGCCCGTGTTCTGTGTTGTCGTGCCCTTGACCGTGATGTGGTGGTGCCATCCGAAAAGGGAAATTTCTGCCAACTCCCACCGCCAACTTGATCTGCTCCACAGCGGCCCCTGGCTCGATCGTGAGTGGCCACCATCATCTCCCTCATTTCCACTCCCTGGTCAGTTCGTGGGCGGCCGAAGCCATCCACAGCTTCTGGATGGCCGTTGAAGGAGAGTGGTTCATTATCCGTGTTTATTGTTTCAAGAAAGGAGGCCGCGTCAGGGACATCAGGGAACGAAAAATAGGGCGGGAAGCCGACGACAGACAATGACCCGAGCGACAAACCGGAGTGTGGGCGGCGCCACGCCAGCGAATGGAAAGAGGGGGGGTCTTGCAGATCCCCGATGGATGAATGGTTACCGTTGATGGTGGCTGATCAGAAGCAGGAAGCATGGACAACAACCAGCAAAAGGTCGGCCGTTGGGCGGGCAGCGGTTGATGATACAAGCCCGGCGCTCACACAGTCCACGGCATACGTTGAGATGGCTTCTGCGGCGTCAAGCTGCCTGCGTTGGCTGGCTCCACGTATATCGGAGACGCTGAGTATCGAGCCACGGCATTCTCTCTCCGCATTCTCTAGTCAATCAATGACTGACTGCCGTGACAAGCTGTCGCGCAGCTGCAGTTGATGGATGGGACGAATGGGGCCCATGATTAAAGATGGCAGAGACATGATCTGAGAAAGAGTGGGAAATGGGCGTGTTTCTCAATCTTTGCTTCTCTGTGCCTTTCTTCTTCTGGACCCTTGCTTTTCCCCGTTTTCTTTTCACTGTCAGAGCCAGCGATTAATTCGTCCACAATACGGCGTGCGCAAGGCGCATTCGTCGCTCCCAATTTCTCATCCAAGGAAAAACACACAACATGTGCGTTGATTTCCGTGAGCTGATGCTGTTCCGGTCTAGCCAACCACTGGAACCGCAGCTGGACGTCTTCGGCTTCCAGGGCAGACTTGCAGATTTGCTGACGCGGCCGGCGATCTGGTGTCTCTGGTGGGCTTCTGGACGAGTTCCCTTGACTCTTGGGGGTGGGTTTCTCTCGGAGGCGTCGCCCAGGGCGGCAGGGCGGCAGGGCGCCCCCGTTGCTGGAAGAGGCCAATCAGGCATGCTTGGTACCTGGCAGGGATGGGAGGTCAGAGTTGCATTCCTACCCCTGGCGCAAGCAACCTTTGAGAACGGCGGTGGAGCGTGGCGCTTGTACCGTCGTGTCTGTGTTGGCGTTGGCGCCGGTCCAGTGTTAGTCGTGGACCCGGCAGGCCCACAACACAAGCCGCGGAAGAGCTGGGAGGACGTTCAGGCACAGCAAGGAGACGGAGAGAGCCATGATTCAAGGGCGTGGACAAGGATGGCGATGGGGTGAGAGCCAGACGAGAGAGGAGAGACATGGCGCCGCCCATCCACACCACCCACACCACTCAACTCATCTCGTCCACGGGCAGTCGGCCACGCCCCCTGTTCACCTTATTAATGGCCGTCTCCCTCCTTTTCGGGTTCTGATTCTTTTCTTCTTCAATCCACTGTTCTTCGGATCACGGCCTCCTTTGCCTTCCAGTCATTCCTTATACAGCGCTTACTCGCGTTGACAACACTCTCTTGAACCAACTTACCTTACAATCATTCCAAGGCAACTAAGGAGTATTCTGGGAATACGACAGCCAGTGTTTTTCATCAACAAAAGCAGAATCTGTTTCAGTCAACAACTACAACAAAACTATCAAAATGAAGGTTTCTTCCTCCGTCGTTATCCTGGCTGCCGCCCTCGGCGTCTCTGCCCACCCCTCCGGCCACGCTCACCAGCGCGCCCACGGCCGTCGTGACTTTGTCGTCGCCAACAAGCCCGTCACCGTCACCCAGTACGCCACCCAGGTCGTCAGCCAGGCTGCCCCTACCGCTCCCGCCGAGGTCAACTACGAGGCCCCCGCCTCAAGCAAGGAGGCTGCTGCTCCCGCTACCTCCTCCGCTGCTGAGACCGGCTCCGACTCTGACTCTGGTGCTGGCTACAAGGAGTTCTGCGGCGGCAAGAAGTCCAAGCGCGCCACCGTCGAGCAGATCGCCTACAAGGGCAACACCGGTACCTCTGACGACTACGGCTGCAACATCATGGCCGTCGACGCCTCCGTTGCCGACAAGTACAAGTACACCACCACCTTCAAGAACGCTGGCTCCAAGACCCAGGAGTGCGTCTGCTTCAACAAGATCGGCCCCGATGGTGGCATCAACGGTTTCTGGAAGGGCAACCAGGCCATCACCTTCAGCCTCCCCGGCAAGGGCTCCAAGGTCATCGCCTTTGACGAGAACTCCCAGGGTGGCTGCGCTTGCGGTGTCGGTGAGGTTCCCACCACCGCCATCGGCCAGTTCGCCTCCACCTGGCTCGAGTTCGACTTTGGCAACGACTCCAACAAGAAGTGGTCCGGTGCTGATGCTTCCTGCCTCGTCTCCGCTGCCGAGAACCTCGACATTCCCGGTCTCCAGGTCTGCGGCCACGGCACCTGCTCCACCATCTACCCTGGTGGCACTGGTGAGAACGCCTACCTCGGTGGCATGGAGGATCTTGACGGCATTGGCCTCAACCTCCCCGCCGGCAAGGCCCGCCTTACTGTCACCGTCGACTATTCTAAGTAAGCTCTTCCTTGAGAAGATGCTTGTTTCTGAATCGTTTCAATTTTTGGCATAGAGCTGGGGTACACTTGTCTTTCCATCAATACCTGGTGTTAACGGTTGCGCTACTGTGTCTTTGGATGACTTTAACTAGTCGATATTAGAGAGAGGCGGACGTCATCAATTGGGCCGCTCCCAAAGGTCACCTGGATACTGGATTTGGGATCTTGTTTATTAAAACCTTCTACATTATATATTCATAGTGCTTATGATATATATGCTTCGATTCTCATGTGCCTTTGTACCCGTGAACTACTTTACCCTCGTTAACTTTAAGTTGTTTGAACCCTTGATAGGATTCTAAAGGATCGAGTCCTCTGACGCTGTCAGTACATGTGCCGAAGGACGAGCCAACATGTTTCCCGCAAGAAACAATTCATCCTGAATCCTGCCGAGTTCTCAGAACCTTAATCCGACAGTCTCAGCCAAGAGAAACATGAACACAGTAAGATGAGTTGGGTTACGTCGCACACACACACACACACACACAGGATTATTCAGCCCTTGCGTCTTTTTTCACCGATTCTTTCTTTTACATGTACCTTCCCATTTTTCGCCATGACGGAGCAATGACAACCATGTCTCTCGTTGGCGATAGGCTGTCGTAGGTCCACGAAGGTTTTTTTCTTTACATGGGCTAATGCAGGTTCAACTTGTTTCAGGGTCGGTGCACGCGTCTGGTGGGGACTTGGCTTGCATTAAACAACATGTGCGGGATTTGTGTCTTTTGTGATCGGGTTACATACTGTGTTGATGAGAGTTTCTGGCTATCAGTTTACAGTGTAACCTTTAAGATGTGCGGTTGCAAAAAAAGAGACTTTTGGTCAAGCTTTGGTTGAAACGATGCCTCTGGCCCGGGAGCTTATGACCGTTGGTAAAAAGCCATTTACCGTTTGCCACGAGCGTTGAAGTAAAGAGTTTATCAGGTTAAGCTTTTTCCAATCAGAGCTCGTTCCGCTCTGATTCGGTTCCTGGATCGGCGCAACTTGTACCTGGCAGATCACCACCACATTCCACGTGGCGCAAGCTGAGAGCTCTTTTTCATCAACCCTACAGATAAACCCGGTCTGTTTTGCCACGCACACAGTGTGGCCTGTTTGAGTGACACGTCTTGTTCTCTCATCTTCTAGCGTCGGAGAGAGTCTCATGCTACATGGATTTTTCTGATTTTTCGTTGTGAAGAGGTCTGTGGAGATGTCGGGCTCCGATGGTGGTGTGGGGGAGGGGATCGTGAGTCAAGCAATTGCCGGAGCGGTGGAGGCCATCGAAGTGTTTGCATCTGAAGGTCTTTGCTCGATGATGGTTTTCGAGATACACTTGTGGGTTTCTCGTTGTATCGTTGTGTTGCATGCAGTGAGTGACTGGCATACACGAACACACCATCTCCAAGTATACACCATCACTTTTCCTCGAGGGTTTGAACATGTGCAAGTTTTCTTCTCGTCGACCTCGCTTAACCTGACAGGACCACTTACCGGCTCCCGGCGGCCGATCCGACGAGGGTACAGGCCAAGTCTGCTGGCGAGATGCTAGTGCCAGGCCGGACGACACGTCAAAAGGCCCGGTGTGATGCGACCAAGTGAGGCGATGACCAAGCACGACTCAGCAGGATGTCAACTGGAAAAACCCGAGGCGAAAAACTTGAGCTTGACTGGTCTGACTGGATGGAGCGGTACTGCAGATGTCGAGCTGCAAGTCGGGCCAGGGCCAGTCTTGTGCGTTCTAGATGTTTCACGTCAAGTAGACTACTTTAAGGCTGGAACTTTGTGCTTGTTGAACCGTTCTACTGCAGCTCTCGTCAGTGGATTTAGGCCTCATAGCACAACGGCTATGTGAGTTACCCTGAACACACGGCCAGTTAAGGGTGAATCCATGTCACATTCTGAAGGAGGCATTGCTATCGATGATTGGGCCTCTCTAGTAGGTAGACTCATTTATACAATAAAAAAACAGATTGGATAGAGGTTTAGATGAAGGAGAAATGCACCCAAATCGCCAACTAGTAGCTTCTGATCCTTTTTTGTAATGGTGATACTAGTGGTAACTTGGGCGCGGAAATATTCCACTTCCGCGCAACCTGCCACTCACCCAATCCTGCAGCTTACACCAACAACCATTGAACATCAGACAGAGGCCAATCGCCATACGCCCGAGACATCATCCTCTCCACCCAGTAGTGGCCATGGGAATATCAAGTTCTAAAACGCGGACGAGGGGCCCCTCATCGAGCGCCATCTCGGCTAATAACTCGCGAGGAGCCTCCGTCGCCGCGGTTGAACTGTCCAGTGCAGTCCATGAGACTCTCAGTGAGCTTGACTTGGAGGGTAAGCTGGAGTCATTGTACAGAATTGAATACCACTAAGTTCTCTGTATGGTAGGTAGCTTAAGTGGCCAGTTTAAGCAGCTGCTTCAACGGCTGGACCAGGAGGCTTCCAAGTACACCAACTCGAGAGTAAGCGATGATGGCGCATCAACAGATTGGAACTGGTGAGACTTCTCCTTGAAATTTGAACCGTATAATTATCTAAAGTCACTTGTAGTTCTCAGGCCGAGGCTCAGCTCGTATCCGCAGCATGGAAGTGCGCTCGTGGGACCTACGATCTCGAAAACACCATCGAAGACACGGCTTACTGCACATTTCGAAAAGATCATGTTTTAAAAAACTCACTTACAGGGACCGTAAAGGCCCTGAAGTCAACTGTAGTTGAGCCAGTGGCTCAGCCAGGTCTTGGCGACCATCTATTGCCCACCCTTGTCATTGCGATTCGGGGCAGCGCGAGCAAGATGGACCACATTGTAAACGCCAACTCTCGGCCTCAGGCCACGGAAAATTTCATTGTAAGGGTCTCGGATTGGATGATTAGCAGAATACCGTTCCAAGTGCTCTGCTAACTTCCAACAACAGAGCCCCGATTTCCTCGATGAACCTGATCTCATGGCCCATTCCGGATTTCTCAATAGTGCTTGGGCTCTCGACGACATAGTATCCGAAAGGGTAAAAACCTACATCGAGAATGCTAAAAACACCAATGGGGAGAGATCCCATGTACTCTTTACCGGCCACTCTGCAGGCGGAGCGGTTGCAGCTCTCTTCTACCTTCGATACATCTCAGACAAAGCATTTGGTGAGTTGAAGAGTATTAGGCCCTAGACACTGTACTTACAAGCCCAGACGAATCAGCAAGATTCTCTTGTGTTACGTTTGGCGCACCCCCTTGTGTGAGCGCGCCTGTAAACCTATCCCGGTATGGTTGTACTGGAGCAACACTGTGTCTCAACATCATCAATGAGTTTGACGTAGTCAGCCGTGCAGATCAGCCTTATATTCTATCACTGGTTGAACTGTCTAGGGCTGTGCTGCGAACAGTACCGCCGCTGCCTATTTCGAGTACAAATGATAATACTATCGAGACCAGTAATGGGACCACCTTTAAGGACGACATTGGCTCTTTATCGCCCATCTCTACCCAGTCAACGGGATTGGAAAAGAAACTCATCAACACGGCCACTAAACTCTGGAATCTTCCTGAGCCCTCTTATCACCATGTCGGTCCGAGAATTTTGTTTGTGATGCGGTTACACGAGGGCGAGATGAGCCTGAGGGCAGTTCAAGTACCACCTGCAGAATTCCAAACTCTTCTATTCTGTCGCACAGCCGTCCACGGAAAGGCACGCTACGGAGAGAGAGTAGAGATGCTAGAAAGTGGGCGGTTTAACGGTCGAGCTGGATGGGATGATAAGCTATAGAATAAATTGATTGTTTTATGAAGGACGAAGAGGAAGGTTGACAAAGTTCTTTCGCCTGGCAATCTCCACAGCCCGATAGTAGTCAACGTCTCTCTGTACCTTGTCGGTGATATTGCTGGCAAATAGGAAAGACCCTGTCTCGAACAGGTTGCCGTCCTTGTCTGCATCTTCTATAGCTGACGCAATGGCCTGACACTCCCAGCAGAGACAAACAGAGTATTCGTCCCCAAAATGGATCCGGTAGAGGCTCTCTGTGTCGGACATGCCGTTCCTCAACGTTGGCTTTCCGATCTTGTCGTCGTGGTTGATGAAGCGTCCACACCGCGACTCCATTGTCGCCTTGTATCCTGCCGCTGAGAGTTGGTTTGTGTGCCACACGAGATCAATATCGAGGTTTGGAACGAGCATCTTGCCAGGATACAACTGAAACAGCTCGAGAAAGTTTTCATATCGCTCAATTGCCCTATTCATAGTCCCTCCAAGCCCCGGACTCCGGATCCAGAGGTGTGCGTGCATCTTGTCGACAAAGACGCTCTGCCGCTCAACGTTGGCGATGAGAGACTTATCCAGCTTACTCTGACCTTTGGGTTTCGAGAGACTCAGGACTCCGGAGGTGTTTTTGTCACTAGAGACTCCGGACCGCATGGTGAAGCCGATGGGTTTGCCTAGGTTGACGAGATACTGATGGAGATTTGGGTCGATGTAGGCTTTGTTCCTGAGCCAGTCTTCATTGTCTTTGGGCAATTGATAGAACCAGGCTCTGTATCCGGGGCCCTGAGCGTCGATTGCTTCATGCTGTGCGGATGTTAGTGAGTAGATAACCTGGGTCGAGTTTCTGTCAACCTACAATTCGTGTCCAGGGGAATGAGAGTCTGGGAAGCCGAGTCAAAGATTCGGCTCGACAGTAGTTGATATAGTCAGAAGGGTTGAGCAGAAAAGCATGCCAGACCATGAGAACATCTACACTTCAGATCAGTAAGACAATCTTGTATAAGAGGGCGCAAGACAAACCCAAGGGAGGTAGCCATGGAAGACGAATCTCCAACTTCTGATCTTCATTGCCCTCTGTCGCGGCCATCTCTTTGTCAATCACCTTGGCCCAGTCAACAAATCTGTCTGCGGCAAAGTCAAGATACCGCGACCATTTCTTCTCACGCTTCGCCTCCCATCCCTCAACCTTGACCGTGACCTTGTCGTTGACGTACTTGTCCAGCGTCTTCATGTACTTGCGGCGATAAATAGTTTTGGTTGGGGCCTTGATCCCGAATATACCGTCAAGGGCCTCGCACTCGATGATTCTGATCTTGAGGGCATGGAAGACCTCTAGAAGCTCCAAATGGACTGCACATTGAACTGCGGTTGGCAGCTCGTCCTTCAGGCCATCTTCAAGGTCATTGAAATAGCCCGAGTCTGGGATCACGGGGTTGCCGACGGGTGTGGAGGCGTAGCGATAGTTTGTTGCTGTCCTTTCGTGTCGTGAAGCGCACTTTAGGTGAAGAATCCTTGTGTGGTAGTTGACAACGTGAGACATTGTTGCGAGGAGGGTATCGTGGTGCGAAGTTTCAGGGCACAGATTGGGTCAACAGCTATTGACTGTTCATCAGGTACCCCGTAGGTTGGCAAGAAATTAGATATGATGGTCGCATATATTCGGCTCAAGGACGGCAGGTCATTAGACTATGAAACAAACAAGTTGCGAGATAACGGCCGAGGCAGAAACGGCTGAGTCGTGATATTCGGCTTGGTGTTGAAAGCTGATGACAGGGGGTCCATGCCGGTACTTCTCTGCACAGCCAATTGTGGTGATAGGACAGGTACCCCGACGACTAGGTTTAAGCACCGCCGCAGTTGTGGAGAGGCGATCGACAAGTGTTTTGCCCGACGATAGTGGCATCATGTCCCTGCATGCGTCGTTTGTAGTCTAATGGGCCGAATATGTCGGCTTTACGATGAGGCTAGGGATGTTGGTCTTGCTTCAACAAGGCGTATTTGCCCATTGGTGGTGATTCTTTGATGAGAGCTAGTAGGATTACCTCCAATTACCACAAGGCTCAAACCTCTGTAACAAAACGAATAGACATTTCAGTGACGTCTGTGCTGGTTGACCCGCCATCGTGCAAGTCTTGGCAACGAGGGAATTACGGGTAATAACCTCAAAACCCACATCCCGGCTGAGTCTGCCTTGCTCGCGCGCGGAATACCGTATCAAGATGCGGAATACATCTTCAGAACCTGTTGCCCTGAGACTCATTGGACCCTTGTTGTGGCGCAGCAGAGGCAGACTCACGATACTGAGTCCCCACGGTTGAGATGATCAGTGCTTGATGCGTCTAGGTTAATTTCAAGACGGTTATCTATGAAAAGGACTCAATGTGAACAACAACATTCCTCTGTAGATACCCTTCCAAGTTTCGCAAACTGAACAATGTCGCGACTTAAGAAGGTTCTACCTATACTCTCCTCTCATACCCCCTCCATCACCTTGGCACCTGACCTGGCATGGTCACCCGTTGGGACTCATGATCTCCTCGCAGAGCTTCAGAGTCTATACTGGGAAGGTGTCCAAGCTGAACTCGAAAACATAGTTCGGACTCTCAAAGCATGGCAGCAGCCCGAGTACTCCGACGTCTCAGTCAGTGACGAGGACGACGTCCACATCCATGGTTTCGACACGTTCCTCGATCAGGTCAGCCAGGAGGCTCGGGCCTTTGCTAAAAGATATGGTTAGTGAGAGATGCACGAGATAGGTATATGCTAACATGGCGTAGGAAACCTGAGAGAGGATCAACTTCGAGGGAAGATTGCTGGTCCCCTTGACCGAGCCCCATCGGATAGGGCCGTCTTTATGGATGTGGTAGAGAACCAATTTGCAGAATATGCGAGCAGTAAGATTAGGTCTGCTGTTAGAAAATCAATCAAGAGTATGGATTATCGAACATTGCTGGACACGAGTGACTAACGTTTCGTCAGATGTGCCCAAACTCAAGGGGATGGAGCAGAGGGCTTGGGTTCTCCTCCAGGCTGCTGGTGTGTCCATACTCTGATCTGCGGGAAAAAGAACGATGGCTGATATTATCTCCTAGGTTTCCTGGATATGGAAAAGCTAGTCGAACATCGCCCACCACTTGATGATGTTGGGTTCTGGAAGAGACCAGCCATTCCTCAACGTGAGCACTACCCGACTCCCAGCAGTCACAAGCCGAGTCACTAACATGCACCTTTAGTGGCCTTGCACGGATTCAGCAAAGACTGGAGACCCAGCTTTCAGTCACTCCGCTGCAAGAGGCAAGACTGCAACGACATTATCCGCGGCAGCATGTTTGTTTCCCAGGACAAGAGCGAGCCCAGCGTCGTCTGCGAAGAATGCTACCGGAGTCATTACTACGGGAAGGAGAACTACACCAAAACTTACAAGCACTGCGTCTTGGCCGAGTCTATCACGCCCGAGATGAGCAGAGACATGTGCCATTGCAAACAAGTGCCTCACGAAGACGACAAAGGACAACCCTTGAGTCTTTTCCCAGTTCCTAAGAAGGCGTTTCATTTGAAATATACCGTCCCGCTCTGTAACCTCATCGATTTGGGTGACCAGGTTGCTCTGGCCAAGTATCAGGGCCTGCAGACAGCCCTAGGGGGCAAGGGAAAGATAGAGAAGCAACGGAGAGAGTTGACCAAGGTCGAACTGCCCGACGGTAAAAAGTCCAAGTCGGAGGAATTGAAAAAGATACTCGGCCGTGGACGTGCCCAAAGCCGATCTGTTTCGTCGAGTACCACAAGTGTGGTTACTGAGCCACAGGCTGACGAAGATATCCCTCTGCTCTTTAGGAGGTACACCGAGAAGTATCCGTATGGGAATGTGCACATGGCTCTCCGGGTTGGCCCTCTTGTCTTTGAGAATGGAGTTGCCCAGTAAGTAGACGCCCCTACCATGTCCATCGGAAAACTAACATTTGGATTGCAGTACTAAAGGAGGAGCTCTTGTCTCAGTTCGGGAGATGCCCGTCTTCCACGAGCGTTTCCATTTGCAGACGCTGCCTCAGAGAGACCTTGCCATCGATGGAGGTTCAGACCGTAAGCTCTGGCAGCGCAAGCGACATGTCAATGCCCCCAAGAGATACAAGGCCATGATGAAGCAGGTCGTGGGCGCCCCCTTCAGTGGTATCCTCCCTCACGACGAGGAGCTTCAGGTTGTCAAGGACATCATCGCTGCGAGTCAGTTGCCCTTTGACGACCCTGGCCTTCCGACAACAGATCAAATAGAGATCCTCTCTTCAGGTCTTCAGCCAGCTCTGGAGAAGCTCAAGGTACTCCTTGAGACTAGGGTCAAAAAGTACCTCGGCAGCATCGCAGAGCGTCTCCTGGACAAGAACGTCGCTCTTGCTTGGAGCGCAACACATAACAACTGTCAGACGTTTTGTGATTCTCTCATGGACCAGAGTCTCTTCAAACCTCTGCTGAACGGTCCTTCTACGGGGCTTGACCCTGGAGTCTATCCTCTTTACAGCATGAGTTTCATGTGTCCGGACGAGGGCTACAGACAACGCGGTGTCCGCACAAAGTACGATGTCCCGTTTGGGCTCACAGAGGAGTATCTTCTTCGCTTCCACTTTGGGCGGCATGACGATGCCGATATGATCGACACTTACCAAGAGTACTGGTACGACTGGGGAGCATTTGGGGGGACTCTGTATAAATACCAGGACTTGTTCCCCTGGGACTGTACTGAGGCATACGAGAGATATCCTACCAAGTGCGGTGACTGCAACCTCGCCAAGCATGTTTGGGCATTCCCCTTTGACTCTTGGTCCATGGCCTCTCTTCACCTATCGCGAGATCGTCACATGTATGCGCCTGCAACAACGGACAAGAACATGACGGCGGTGGGCGAAGGAGCCAGCACAAGCTCATGGATGAGAAATCGACTTACGGTCCTCTCTGCAACGTCGATTCTCAACCGAGCTGCTACGGCAATGGCCCGCAGTCGTGAGCTCCAAAAGGCCACAGCATGGCTTCACGATAACGAGTTGCGACCTGACTTGGATCCGTCCTTGATACGCGTCAAGTTGGGAGGTATTCATCGAGCCCAGCCCTTCAGCCACCACTTCGAAGCCGGTACCTACAAGCACTTCTTCGTGGCTCCTTGGACAACACGGCCGCGGGAAGAGCAGATTGAGCAATATGAGACTCTGCGTGACCAACGGGCCGTTATGGCAGATGTCCCAGTGCGAGCGTTCAACTCTCGCTACCCACTGAGCACGACGCCCGAAGAGACGCCCTACAGAGGATTTGAGGGCTTCTGGATGGTCGACGACCAAACAGGAGAGGAGACCATGTGGAAATCAGACAACGGGGACTCCAAGTGCATAAAGGAGAAGGTATCATGTAAGAACGTGCCCATGGACGACGTCAAGCCCAACGATTGCTTCTCAGACTCGCACATCACCCCGACAGGTGTCAAACCCCCCATCGTCACCTGCGGAGGCGGATGCGGAAGTTCTTCACCCAGGGCAGCAGATTGTGCGAGCGCCGAGACTATCAAGGCTGCTGCTGCCGAGGAGGCATCGTATCATCACTCGAGTAGTGGAGGTGGAGGAACAACTTCTAGCTGTGGAGGAGGAAGTTCGAGCTGTGGAGGGGGAGGGAGTTCAAGTTGTGGGGGCGGTAGTAGTAGTTGCGGTGGTGGTTCAAGTTGGTAGATTGGGGTTCATAAGGAGGCCAAGATATGAACATTCGTGTATTTTAAGCCATGGCGTGTCGTTTAACAGGGGATATATCAGTTCAAAGTGCCCCTGACAGGCTGGTCTTGTTGATTAGTAGATTATCATGCTTGCCCTGAGCTCAGCATCACCGATACCGGCAACGGCTTTATCAGCTGCATTTTTTCAACTGAAGCCATCCCCAATTACTCCGTATGATCTGGAATCACCTCTTGATAATCTCCCTCTTGCGTCACCCAAAACCAAACGCCCTATCCTCGTTGTGAACCCCTTGCGACCCTATTTTTAGCGAGCCAATGCATGTCTTGTCCAGGTTGTGCAAATCTCCGAATGGGGTCCATTTTGTGCCCATAATAATTCCTGCGTGTGTATAGTGCAGGCAGGGATTGTTGCTCACCACATGCAGAGCATCTAATATTTAATCTGGGGAAAAGAAAAGAGAAAAAAAGACTCATAGTCGACCAATGAATTTTCAAGTCTGCAGCATCAATAGTTTCCTCTCTCCTCCCCTGCAATATTCATCACCCATGCTATATCATGGCATGGACGCGTCGGCTCGCTTGCTCTCCCACCCACGGACGAAACCAAGAAAAAACAAGAATAAAATCACAAGGTTGCAATGCTATCGACATCCCGGACGATAGCTCGAAGGGGTCCGTTCTGTCGTGCTGCCATGGCTTCGGGAACCCCTGCTGGCGCACGTTTCAAGCAGATGGAGTTTGTCCGTCTTGGGGTTAACAGACCTGGCAAGACAGGGTTCCTCTCCTTAACCACCTAGGTGAGAGTCTTTGAGGCTCCCCTAGGTGCAACCCCC